TTGAGTAAAATAAATATAACTAGCAAAATAATGGACTAATTTCTGACTATTTACAAATTCTGTGTAGCCTAATTACTGTGTTGACCATCTTCCAGATAAGATCAAAATATCTGAGCGTGTCAAACTGTTACAGATTTGATAAAGTATCTGTCACACAATTGAAGGCACTTCCTTTAAAACTTTCATTGTTAAGTTTGTGATGACATTGTTTTGTGCAGATAATTAATATGTTTCACATGACAAGGGCGTTTAACATTATTACATATTCATGCTTGAATACCTGCATATAGTGTACTAAAAAATAACACAGTGAAAAATGAAGAATAGAAATGATATTGTTGACATTATTTTGCATGGTCTTTAATATTTATAGGTAAAGTATATAAACAAGGTCCAGCAAATAAAGGACTTTAAATCTATTGAAATAGGGATCTAGAATATGAATATGTTGATAATAGAAAGCTAACATAAAGAGAGATATAACTAACTGTTTAAACTATATCAAAACATTGAATAATTCAATTTATTCAGTGTAGACAGAGTCTAATAAATATATACACCATTGATCAGTTTAAGATAGATGGTAGTGTGAAACACTCTGAGTATACCTGTTTCGAATGAGACAGTCAGCACAATACTTTTGTAGTAGACATTAAACGAAATAAGGATTTGAACTGGAGCTGAAGGACATAAATGTTATAGGTAAACAAATGATCTTATGCTTAGGGACAATAATGTTCATCAGTAGAGTCAGAGGTCTAATGGTGGTCTCTCTGGAAAGATTGAACCCAGACACAGAGTAGCATCCATTTGAAACGACTTCAAACTTTCATTGTCAGTCTTTAATATTTGATTGATAAAGACACCTAAATAGATTCACTTCTTATCCAATTCAAATTATTTGTCAGATTGTGTTGATGTTAGAGATATTTGAATGTGTAATTGTAGGTTTTCTCCCTGTGATAGAAATCAGACAATTTCAGATTATGTGATAGCTAGTCTATATTGAAAAGCTTGATTTAAATATTGACTATGTATTATAATAATATGTTAAAGTTGTCTGTTCAGTATAGTCAATTATTGTAGTTGTCAACAGGTTAAGAAATAAGTAACAACTATCAGGTAAATATACCTTGTTTAGTATATATCTTTCCAGATTTATTTCCATATAGCTACTGTCTCTATTTCTGACCATTTGTTGTACTTTTGTCAGGGGTTCATATGGTTGAGTCTGAAAATTTTTCTCAAAATGTTATTTGGAATTGGATAAAGATAACAACATGTATTGTATGAACTTGTTTATATTGTTTACTTTAAAGTCCAAACCAATTTGGAGATAATGAGAGTTCTAATTAGATCATTGTTAATGACTCTATATAATTTAAATGAAAATATTGATCTAATAGCAACTTTTAATGGTAGCAGAGTTTTTATTGATGAATATATAAATCAATTCAATTTTATGAAGAATCTTGGGCAGTTACATATTTTACTTTTTTGAAGTAGTCTTATCTCTTAAGTCAGAAATGCTTTCTAGGTGCAGTGTGCTTGGCAGAAAGTGCTTACTCTTTCCACAGAAGAAACAGACAGGCTTTTACTGAAAGATTTCAATAGATAGAGACACCTTTGTGACCCCAGTCTCATACCTGACAGGCCAATAGATCCAAATCAAGAGCTATTGTTGAATCTACAGTATTCTGAATATAAGATTGAGTTTGTGTAGGTGTCAATATATTGATTGATAGATATTCTTGTTATTTTATTACCATATTTATATTGGTATATTTGTCAGAACAGGACTACTTTGACCTGTTAAGATCTGGTCATTTTCCTAGAGATATATTATCATATGTGTCAAATAGGTTTGCTTTGACCATAGGTTTTTATGGGTCACCATAACATGTTTTATTGGATGTATTTTTTATAGCCAATACTATGGTCAAAGGATTGCAAATCAACTTGCTGGGGTCATGCCATGATCGATTCATTGGATAGTAAATTTTGCTGATGTTAAAAAATAGAAATCAAAAGTTTGATTATTTTTGTCAATACTAAGTATCAAGGATATTAGTGTGTAAAAATACCATGATGTTTTTCACAAAAATAGCTTGATAATTTCAAGAGAAAAAAGAAAATAACAAGTTTTTAGGTCATAGACTGCAGTTTGAATATCTTATCCTATTTTATCTGAAGATTTCAATACAGGTGTTGTTTAAACAATGACTGAATAGAAAAGATTCAATTTCACTAAGGTAGTTTTGGTGTAAGTAAAGATTTAAACCTTCTTCTGAATTCTCCATTGTTTCCGTCTGAATGAGTTGTGTCCTGCTTTTATGAACCTGATTGATCTTACGAAATCGCCATGCAGTGTACAATGTTGGCAGACAGCATATCTAGCCTTTTTCCATGTCAGCCCCATTGACCTGCATCACTGGCAAGGGGAAACTGGGTTAATAAATTTGAATGTATTATTTCAACCTATGCTAGGATGATAGAAATATGAGGCTATGTGAGATGTGCTAATTGTGTATGAATAGTGTAATCTAATAAACTCTTATTTTGAGTCTTTATAATTATGCCATAATTTGACTATTTTTAAAATGTCAGTTATTCAGTCAATAAAGTTTCTTGAATATTTTTGACCATGTTATAACTAAGATTATGCTGTAAGCCTCAATAAAACCTCAATTATGAGGTTCAAATAAGTTTTTGTCAACTCATTATTGGAGGTCAAGTTAAAAATTGACATAAGTTTGAAACGAAGCCAAGAATTTTATCAAATATATATTATGTAGGCACATGTTGTAGTTACAGTAAACATAAAGACTTTTCAAACCCCTATTATAAATATTATGAAAAAGATCGCACAGAAAACATAATGTATTATAAAAGGCATGTTTACGCCTAGTTAGCTATAAAAGATCTTTTAATATTGCGAAGTTAGAAGAAGTGGGGTGATATACCTGGACAAAACTAACAAACACACTGACAAAATGAGGAATATGAATACTGGTATTAATATTTGGACATATTTAAGGTAGATATATTATTATGTTTGATGGTGATGAGAATGTAGTATCATAAAAGCACTGACCTAGGTCACAAAGTAAAGATTCATAATGAATAAAGGTGCAAGTTAAAGGTTAAGATAATAAGATACGTTCCCTATGTTAGAAAAATTAGTTTCTGTACAATCTAACTCAAGATATTTGGAAAGAGGTTGTATATTCAAAGTAATTTTGATACTTTGTGGTTTGGGAGTATTCACTGTTAATCTTGTGTCAAAGTTAAAATATAAAATGCATTATGTGTGTTTACTTGTCACTCATGAAAATCATTGTCAATATTGATTTATTACTGCACCTACATACAGGTTATATGTTGATTGATGTAATGGCATTTCTCATACTTGAATATTCGCTATTCAAGATGTCGTCATTATAAAAAAGTTTGCTAGTATATCAGACGGCTTAGTTGGTCAAGAAGGGGTTGAGAAAGCTTGATATGACAGGTTTTGTTTTGTTTAAACCTCATTTGTTTCAAAATAACTGGTCATTTTAGTAGTTTTATGAACTGTACATGACAACTACATTAAAAAAACACAACTAAGTTGATGAACTTGGTTATAAATGTCTAAGTTGCCAGAAAAATTTGACATCTCATGTTTTAAAAGGACATCCAAATGATATAAAAAATTTTCTTACTGAGCGCCAAATTTGTCAATAAATTATTAGGCTTATTGAACAAAATTGTTTCATGCAAAACAACACAACATGAAATGTCTACCATGCATGAAGTATGTTATGCCTGAGGGCACAGCACATAAGATTGTGCAATTTTAGTATAGAAATTTATTAAAGTGAAAATTGATGGATAATATTACAGTTATAGTAAGAAATCTTATCAGTCTTGGCTCATCTGGTGGACCAAATTGTTTTGATGGACAGGTTGTATTTAGAGGTTGATTGCTCAAGTGAAGAGTAAAGGAGGTGTTTAGGATGTATTAATGTGTGAAGATTATAACCTGTGTATGATTTATTGGAAGATTATGTTAATGTTAAGCTCTAAGTGGTCGAAGTTTCACCCTGTATTATAGGGTTGCTTTGATGTCAAGTGGGCCATTATAGTGCAGCATGGTTGAGGAGTGTTTAGTGGTTGATATAGAAAGAGTAAAAATGGGCTTACTTTATATTCAGTGCAGGCAGGTACATGTAGGTGTTACTATTATTTAATGCATATCTGTAGGAGGACGAAGGAGTTTTTTTCTTTGCTAAAGGATATTTCCAATAATGATTTAAAAGATGTTATTTAACTTTTATTTTAGGTTAAATGATGCAATTTGAAGCTAGACACATCATAGCAACATACCATATATTGTAGAAATGAACTAACATGATAAACAACCACTTGGAACAATCACTCAACATTGAACTGATATCATCAAGTACTGCTGTTTAAAACATACCTTTTCCACTATTCGAATATTGGGTATCTAAACAACATTTGTTATTTGCATATAAGAGCTAATCTCTGATGTAACTTGTTGAACGTTTTCTATGGATTATTCTGGATTATTAGATTTCTATGTGAACTGTGAACTTTGATTAAGCTGAGAAGGAAACCTTCATCAAAAACTTAGTTAGATTTTGACAGAGAACTGGACATGTTTAATACAAAATTGAATGAAGAAGGAATAGATTATAAACTAGTGGTCCATGAACTCAACATATTCAAAAGGGACCTTGTCAAAATGTATTGGAGCAAATCTTTAATATAAACTGTGATATTACTAGTAATCTGTTAAGAAGTATATAGAACAAATAGGACTCAATATAAGTTAAAAATATATTACTGATTAGACTGCGAAAGTAAAAGTGTCTGAAACTCCAGTATGGTTCCCGGAGAAGAGTTAAATACAATAAATTCCAGTTTATTTTGATAACAATCAATTGTGATAAAAAGTTCGGTGGAATATATTTGATTATAACAAAATATACAATATGGATCGTAAACCTCCCAGTGGTTCCAGACTCTCTGATTATGAACAATACAGAATGAAGAAGTACAGGGATCATGCACGTTTCTTGCGTCCGAAACGTGAGGTTATATATGTGGACGGTGATAGACAATACATTAACACTTATGATGCGATGTTAGATGATGCAAATTCTCCTTTTGGACGTAACTATATTTTAATGAACGCCTCACCGCGTGGAATGTTACATGTAAATCGTAAAAAGAACACTGAACATGATTGGGCTCCACGATTAATTAAGACAGATTTCAATATGCCAACCATACCAAAACGTGCTATGTCTAGTATGGACTTGCGTAGATCAGAGACTTACACCTCAGCTGAAGATTTACGCTACCACAATGTTCGTAAGGCTGGTAGTTTTGATGACCTTCTGACCAGAGAAAGATATTTTTCTGAAGTAGCACCTTCAGAAAGTGGTATCAGTGAAATTGATTCTATATTTGCTATTGATGATGATTCTCAATCACAAAGTTCTATTTGTAGTGCAGATAGGTCATTCTGTTATAGTGAAGTAGAAGAAGGACATGACCGTCTGGATGTTCTAGATGTAATTGAGGAAAATGAAATGGCAGAAGATTCTGGTAACCATGGAAGTGAATCTTTGTCCTGTATTACTAACACAAATCGCCGTCTGTCTCAAGGTCAGATCAATGCTGGTATTTTGACTGAAGAATTGCTCAAATTGAAAGAAGCTCAAGAACAACGAAGGGTTCGGAAAACAGAAGACATTAAAGAGTATATCGAAAATAATAATGCTACAAACAGAAACTACAGTACAACTTCATACGACTCTTGTCTTGGTGACAGCATACGAACTGACACCGACCAATCTGAATACAGTGAACATGGTAACTACAACACCAATAATCATGGTTTTAAATCAGGACGTAAACTGACCTATTCTACAGACAGTGGGATTGATTCACGACATGAAAGTTATAAATCACATCATGACTCTGAAGACATGGTGACAGCATCTGTTGAAACAACATACCTGTCTGATTTACCTGGTGTTTATGAACATGAACAAAGGAAAAGTGGCGAATGGTGGAACAAAAATGACTTTTCTCAAAAGAAAACTGTTGAAAAGTCAACATTTACTCCTGATAAACATAAAGATACTTTGACATTTAAGTCAAAATCTGAGGATGACAATGTGACTACAACAGTAGAGACTATTTACTTGCAAGATGGTGACAATTTACAGTATCTTGACAATGAAACTGAAACTGTTAATATTGAGTGTGAATCGGAATGCAAACATAATGACTCAGAAATAGTGCAGAAATCAATAGAAACTGACTACAGTGAACAGACTGAAAATAAATTTCAAAGGTCAGGGGAAAAATTCATAGCTTCCACCCAAATCAATTCTGTGATTGAAAATAATAGTGAAAACATTGAAGAAATTACAACTGAAACAATTCATTTTGGAGATCAAAGTGTTCAATTATGTGATGAATCACCCATTAGTGACTCTCAACCACATAACTCATGTGAAATTTCAATCAATACCCAAATGGTCAGTGATACTGTGTGCCAAATGTCAGAAGATAATTTGTTTACCAAAGAACATGTATTAAACACACACGAAAACTTGAAGTCCATAAACTTAACCAGAGCAGAACAAAATCTAACATTTTCTAACCAATCAGAGTTAAGTTTACAATTCAATGATGAATTAGAGCTAGCAGACGACAGAAACTCTGTGTATTATTCTCAGAGAAATATTGATGGAAAGCCTACACACGACACAGAGACAACTGTCGTTGTTTATAATGAAGCTGAATGCACGAGCACTAGTGTAGTGAGTACTGAGTTAACTACAAACCAATTTACTACCAATATCTCTTATGATGAGAATATTTTGGAGGGAAAAGTTGAAGAGAGTAATTTAAGCCTAGGGGATAACAGACATTTTACTGATCACTCAGGTAGAAATGATGAGATAAATACTTCAACAGTTTTATACACAGATATTACTACACAAAAAACTCTCGGGACAACTCAATACAAGGAGACCATTAAAAATAGTGCAAAGACAGGTGATATTATTGACAGTGAAGATATTTTAATTCATGTTGAAAAGTTTGATATTGTGGATAGTGTAAAAGACCTTGAAGAAAATGGTGAACAATTTATTGACAATGTGAAATCGTTTGAGCAAGTGGAGAAAAGTGTAATTGGAAATTGGAATGAGGACGTTGTTAAGGTAGGCGTGGATCGTAAAGAGTATTTTATTACTGAAGTGGTTACAAGTTTACAGGCTAACATATCAAAGAAGGACATAAATAATGTTTGTTTTGATCTAGTGACTGACATTAGAGCAGATAAACTATCACATCACAACCCTATTATTCTAGATTTTCCTTTTACAGAAAAATATATTGATAGATGTGAGAATTTTATTGACCAATCAGATGATAGAGTGTTAATTAGACATAATACTCTAGTTCATCAATTGTTAGAGCAGGTCGATTCTTCAATTGATTATTATGAGTGTAGTGGAGAAAATGTTGATAGTAAGGAGATAAAAACTGATTATATTCTAACTAAAGATAGAGAAATAACACTAGATTCTGACAATATGGCTGAAGGACAGGATTATAGCTGGACTAAAGAAAGAGAGGGGGTTTACGAAGAAGAAGAATGGGATAATTTAGAGGATTTCCGGCCACAAAGACAAAGTGGAGTAAAAATCAATGTCATTAAAAATAAACTTCCTATCTTAACCCAATATAAAATGCAGACAATTAGCGAAAATGATGAGGTAGATTTGGGCCAGAGTTCATTTTCTGACATGTACGATCCAGATTCTGATAGAGACTCCAAGGTGACCACTTCTGTGACTCACAGTAATGGAATTGAAATAAGTATGATAAAGACTGAACAGATGAATATTGCCCAATATCGTGTTGCACAGCAGAGTTTAGATGTATCAAGTGTACAAGATGTGAATACTTGTGAATTGGAAGAAGCTGCTCCCAATGTACACACCAGTCCTAGAGCTAATGCTGAGATTACAGAAACCTCCACACCATTCTTTAATAGATTTTTCAAGACCACCTATCATCAAAATATCAACAGCAGTCAAGAATTTCATCTACCTGTTGCTACAGATATAGATATATATTCTAGTAGACAGCACAATGTGCATTATAAAAACTTAAAATTAGGTGAAATTGGAAATGAGAATATGGGCAAGACATTTCAGTTTGTTTGTGACAGACCTAAAATTCCCATAGAATGGACTCAAGAACAAACACTGGAATCTAAATACATGTCAACAGAAAATAAGTCGAGTGAGAGGATTGATTTTGCCAATATTAGTCACATTTCAGAACCTGAAAGTCCATACAAAGCATCTTGTAGTGCTGAGGTCAGTCTGCTGGAGGATTCAGGTTACATGACTTATTTACATGAGGATTCTCCCAAACAGAGCTTACTAGACATATCACATGACTCTGATAGTTCAGCATATAGATCAGTTTGTACAGCAGAAGTCAATGTTGAAATACCTGGTGAAGAAGAAAAGACCGAGACTATGTTGACATCTAAGAGTGGAGTATCACTCTCTCCATCATCTGAAATCAGTGAGACTGAGAGTGGGTACTATACCTTGACAAGATCTGGTAAATCTGTTGTTTCCCGACAAGACACTACGGAAGACATGACCAGTTTTGTTTATGAGGACTCAGATCATTCTTTGTATAAAGATCAGATGTTTGGTGTCATGAATGAAGAAAGTAATGTCCAATTTGAAAGAATCCAATCTCAAGAGGACATTACAAGTTATTCTGAAACCTGTCATGCCACTAGTCACGATACAAGTTCAGAATACTTGTCCGGGACCACCATCAGTAGGAGGGATTTCAACAGGATTGACTCAAAAGAAGCTACTGCAGACACATTGCAAGAATTCATTGACTTTTCTGAAAGTTTGGGGAAATCTTTTGAACTTGAAGAGCAGAAACTTCTCTCTGAGATTGAAAGTTCAGAAGAAACCTCTTATGTATCTGCAGGTATAGTAGCCAGCACTGCTTATCTTTACACTGAGGCTGCAACCAGCAATGAGCAAAACAGTTTCAAGACGACAGTCATTGAAATTTTTGATTCATCTGAGGATCTGACTGGATGTATTGAGTTTGAAGTAGACGATGATGGAACTGGTAGAAATAGAAGGAGATCAATTTTGGACATTACTAAAGCTAGATCGACAGAAGATTTATGCAGAAATTTGGCTGCCGATCAGGTTTTTACATCTAGGAAATATTCTGTTGATGTGATGGATGTCCAAGATGGATCTAGACTGGGAATAAGAAGGGTCAGATCCACAGAAGACATGACTAGTTATAAACTATCTTCTGAGAAAACTGAGTATTCCTACACAATGTCAGAAATGAAAACACACCGTGAAGAATCTGGTGCCCTGTTACATAGACAACTTGAGAAAGCCAATTCAACTGAAGTTATCACTAGCTTTGAAAACACTTCTGAAGCCACTCAACTATCAACAACCACAGAATTACATACTTCAGGAATGGAACATGGTGATCTTAAAGCTTTCAGAACCAAACAAATTGAAAAGGCCGATTCTACTGAAGATATCACCAGCTTTGAAAACACATCTGAAGCAACTCAACTGTCAACAACCACAGAATTACATACTTCAGATATGAAACAGGGTGATCTTAAAGCTTTAAGAACTAAACAAATTGAAAAAGCCAACTCAACAGAAGATATCACCAGCTTCGAAAGAACAACAGAAATCACAGATAACTCCCAATTATATGACAGTCAGCATGCTGGTTTAAAAAATTCTAGGTCACTAAGGAAACAAACCAATTCTCAAGATGATGAATATTGGACCACTACAACCACCACAACTGAAACTACAACCACCACACATCATCCTGGTGAAGAATGGAGAACAGACACAGAAACTATTGACATCAATTACCACTCATCTCAGCATGATGATTTACAATCATCTACTATGCAAAATATTGAACAAAACACAGAAAACAGAATTGAAACTGCTAATAGCATCAACTATCATTTATCCCAACATGATGAAATTGATCATACTCATCATGGAATTGAAACAACTACCAAGATGTTGCAGGAAAGACAAGCACCAGTTCTTAAATTGCAACACCTAGACAGTCAGTTAGAAAGTGTTGACACTATTGAACTTCTCAAATCCTCAAAATCCTTTGAAGGAGGTTTACAGCAACTATTATCATCTGAAGGTGGAATTGACCATAGTGAACAATTTGAATCTATGACTGATAAAGATCGAAATAAAATTCAAATGTTTATCATTTATCAAGATTTTGCCCAGATGCGAGAACGTTCACGATTAAAAAGACAATTAGGACTGTTATCAAAACAATTTGAAAGACTAGATAGTGTGGACAATTCAGACAAATCTACTCAACTGACCACTATAGACTCATTTCTAGATCAATTTTTGAACAATCTTCAAGTGTCTGAAAAGTTGGAAGTATTAAAAACACAGTTTAAGAAAGTGACAAGTTTTAGGCCTGTCCAATATTATGATGACGATAATGAAATTTATATTCTGATGGAGAAATTTTCTCAGATTTTACGTGAATTAGAATTACATCGTGATGACAATAAACTAAGTGCTAAATTAACTTACTGTCTCAATTTTCTTAAAGCTAAAACTATAGATGGACAATTTGACTCTCTGTGTGACTTTGTTTGTGTTGAATCTCAGAAAGAAGATATGGAACTATTACAGAATCACCTGTGTTTAACTAAAGAGGGTGATTTTGGTTCTCGTAGATTGATGAAATATTTAGGACGTGGATTCTCTACTGATATGAAAACAATATGGAGACCTAAATTACGGACATGTTTACAAACTGTATGTGAAGATGTAGAACTGGATTTTAACTCTGTATCAATTACACCTCATAAAGATGAAAATACTGGTAAACCATGCTGTGAATTCCATGGAACTGATAAAGGATTATTAGCAGAACTCAATCTATGGTCAAACCAAGATTCAGTTAATGATTTGTCACCAACATTTGAACGTAGGGGAATTATCAACTGATTTCTAAATTTAATTACTGGTTGAAATATACACACCCTAAACAGCTTTTTATTTGAACTGGCTTGTTTCAAATTGATTACACTGCAGTAAATTTTTATGTATAAAATATCAGATAATTAACTTGCTAGTAATAAATGTTTATCTAGGTTAAAATAATTAGTATAATTAAATCAACCAGTATGTTATTATAGGTAAAAGTAACAGGTGTATAAGGTTTAGGATAAGTAAAATAAAATTGTAGGTCACCTATTTCAATATATACTCAATCATTTAATGATATCTTCAGGCGTTTTCATTATTACTATATTTCTACTAAATATTGCTTTACTTATAAAACCATATTATACATCCATTTTCAAACTTCCTTTTTGAATTCAGACTAACCTATGTGATTGGCTATCTGTATACTGTGAAAGAAAAGTTTGAAAATGAGCCTAGTTTTAGTATCAGAATTTTAAACTCTAGAATCCTTGAAACATCTGGTTGATATGTAGAACTTGTCTAATTTATGAATTATTTCTAATGTGTCAATCATTAATATCTGTTTATCATCAACATTATATGTGGCAGCTACTTTTACAAATTAATTTAAGTTCTTTTTGCTCATTTAAGATTAGATATAAACCCAATGTCTTAACACACCTAATCCAGGCCTTAACTGTATATTAATAATGAGATTAGGTTAATCTGTGAAATGTAATAGGATACTAGATAATATTATCCTGAATAGGTTACACCTTAAACTTTGTCCTTCAAAAATAGACTTGAACAGTTATCTAATACTTCATGAATATTATATTATATATATATTATAAACTCAAGTTTAAACAGAACTGAATATTAACCCTTCTAGAGTTGAATTACATCATGAATATTGTATTACCGGTAGATATTGTTTGCAGATTGTTTGTGTTGTATTGAAATATTGTTGTTTAAACTATAATATTCGGAGCTGATAATCACAAGGAACTGTAAACACAAATTGATATTATCCCATGTAAATTTTCATACAATAATGTAGAAAAAAATATATTGGTATTTGTCTCTTAGTGTTACATGTCTCAAATGATATTATACATGTATTATATATTATGTTTCATTGTTATGCAAGCTATAGATGTAGAGACCAGATTATTTTACCAGTCTGCAAAATTGTTATTTAGCTGGTTTTTGGGTATTTCAGTTCAATCATGATGAAATTTGGTGAGAAATATGAAATGGAACCGTGTGTTATTGTATATAAAAGTTTTAAAGACGTAATTTAGTTGATAATTTCAATTTTTTTTTATGAGTATTACATGTACTCTATTGTTATTTTCTTTGTATATTTTGTTGTTGTTCAAAATTGTGTTCTGTTTTATTTCCTTTCCTCTATATTCAATTTAACATATTAATATGTTATCATCGTATTATTATTACATATTATTAGCTGGCATTATATTTATTTGCTTGTAATATAGGGCCTTGTTTCTCAGGATATAGAGTTGTCTATTTAACAAAATGTACCATGCCTATGATAACTATTTTCTGTTTGATTATTTAACGAAACAGTCAACAGTTTAAGATCAAGGTGTTAAAATATAAAAATATATTTAGAGCACTTTACCCTTTAAAAGTGTTTTGTTTTTGTTCTCTGTGTTAAGACCTGGAAGGTTTATGTAATGTTGTTAGATTCAGTTGTTATTGTTATGTTAATTATGTTTAATTGGGTATCATAATTAATTAGACCTCTATTTGTTACTTTTTATACACAAATAAATTATATTTGATAATCACTTCTTCTTTAATACCCTTAACCATGTGACATTCCAAAAATCACTTCTGGAAATTTAAAAGATTGTATTTCTATGAAAGCTTGTAGTAACTAGGAAGATAATATAAATTATAATGTAATGGAAAAGATTTGAAAATTGGTTCTTGTAAAGAATGGCAGACATACAAAAGAAAATTAATTTACTCAGCAAAGAAAAATAACTTCTTGGTTAGAAAAACCTGAAAGCATTTTTCTATTTGATTATTATAATGGCGGTAAAATCGATGTTCAGAAATCTTGACTTGAGGATGACAATAAGAACATTAAAAACAGCCTGTTATTCCAGTTGAGAAGGGAAAAATCAATAACTTGTCATTCAACAGTTGTTACTATCATTTATCATGTATTCTTCTAGAAATATTATCACAAATTATACAATTTGTTCTGTACTACTTCCTTACAGTGTTTCTCAATGCAAATAACTGTATAAAATACCTTCAAATAGACCACGAAGCAATGTAGTTGAATACTAAATTTTCTTTCATTAGAGAATATGATTTTTGAATTGTCAGAGATGGTAGGAATAAAAACTGTCTGTATTATTAATTGGATTTCATATGAGGATATAAATCACCAACTTTGTGCATTATTATGGGTGTCAGTGTGACCCAATGGTTTTTTTTGCATCATTTGAGCATCACTATGTAATTCTAACATTTGTCTATGCAAAAATAATTTGTGAAATTTGTGGAACTATAAAGGTTGAGACTGTTTAGTCTATGGAAAGGCTGTAGACATCAAAGCAGAAGTATGAAGGCAGCAGAAAGTATTCAAGTCTCGGAGTTATAAGGATAATGGAATGCTTTCCCCTAATTATTTTTTGTAACTTCTGATAGAATCAAATTTAGATACCCAAAATAATAACAATATATTAGGAAAATAATCAGAGTACTTGCGGTCTTGTGTTAATCAGATATTGGAGAAACATATTGAAAATATAACCTGAATAAACAATTTCCATTTAGAAACCTACAAAAATACTTAAATATGTAGATCTAATTAGGCAAGAATCACAAGAATATTTTGTGGCTTTTATCGATCATGACTTGCTAATTCAATAATTTCCTCTATACAAGTTTCAAAGTGCACAGTTTGAACATGTTGGATAGAAACTAATATTCTCCTGTTGTATTATATATGATTCAATTATTGGAAGTATTATATTCTATGATATAATTATTGAATATTAGTAGCATATAGCTATTCTAAAAGGAATCTTAACTGAGATCAAAAATTCTTAATTTTCCTACAGTGTTTATAAAATAGTATATTCGTCATAAAATCATTGATAGAAAGATACAGGTGTTGATATAGACTAAACTTGGTTTATGGTAATAATTAAGTCAAAAACACCAATAATTGGCACCAGGATTTAATAAATGTGTTTATATGTGTATCCTTTCTCTGGCTTAGTTCCAGATAATTAGGCGCCTACTTCCCACTTCTGGCAAAATCAAAAACATTTTACGTTAACGTTCGTCATAGGGTGGAGAAGTTCAATGTTCAAGGAGACTTGTACAAAAACAGATACTTTCAGTACAAACACATTAAAAATAACACATTTTCTCTCAGTTAAAACTCAGTTATCTCTTAATAACATTGAAAAACCATTAGAAAATGACTTTTAGTAATATGAATGTTTTTATGATTTCACATGTGTAAAAACTAAAAAATGATGTGAAAACAACAAGAATATATAAAGATAAACAAATTAACTGTAACTTAAGATACATTAATAGTTTCATTCAGTTTTATCTTTTTTGCTAATAAAAAATATTAGACCAAGGAAAGAAAAAATATTTGTTTTGAATTTATCGCAGAAAATCTCATTTTGCATTCATTGCAGAGAAACAGGTGGCATCAGATTTTCCTAAAAGGTGAGCATGTCTTGCGTAGTTGCTAGAGAAATTATAATTTGTAGAACCGCATTGAAAAATACATTATATACATGATACAAAGCAATTTTCTGATAATTTCAGATATTATAAATGGTAAATTTTGTTACTAGTTCTATAAATTCAGCGTAGGCAGCAAGACTTCATGAAAAGATGAAACAGATATAATCAGTGTATACACAATATACTAATATACTAATATTTACACTGAAAACTACCAGCTATCAAATTACTCATTTAGTTTAAGTAATTCATCTGAAGGGAGTTGTTTTATTGATGGGTTTTTCTTATATAAGATGATATAGTAGTCTTGTCTAGGCATTTACATATATATGAACCAACTAAAAGATTATATTGGTCACTGGTAATATAGTAGGTCTACTATTTTGATATGCTTCTCCTCAGTAATTACATAACAAGTGAAACCAAAGCTAATTTGTCCAGCAATTCCAAATAATAGACATAAGGATTAGAAGCCAAAATCAGGCAGACCATATCAGAAATCTAAGGCCCAATTGTAAACATATTTATTTATTATTTTGTTTACAATTGCGCCTTAGGGGCTCCGTAGAAATCAACACAAAACTTCAATATATACATTTAACTGAAGAAGATAATATTTCAGAGATAGTAGGCTACAAACAATCCCATTAATACAAACTGGAACAATCATAAAATCAATTTCAATAACAAGAATTTAATGTAACATTCATGGTCCATTTTACTTATCTTTAATCTATCTCTTTGTGGTTGTGACTGGTGAAAGGAACCAAATCCACAAAACAATATGAAAATTTCAATGAGAAATATGATCATTTGAGTTATGTCTCATGTTTTTCTGTTCCAGATCAATCCCAGATCAATGGACAAGAGAAGTTATCTGAAAATGTTCCACTACAAAAACTTAATATTACATCTGTCTCATCAAAGGCAACCAACCAATCAGATGATGACAAGCCTAAACATCCACCTATAAATTTAAAGAAAGATTTCACCAATGGTGAAACAGGAGAAGATGATGATTTTGTTGAAGTAACTCCTCGTATGAATCTCATATCATGGGATCCAGTAAGTCATATATTTCTCTGTATGATAATCACATATAATAACAAAGTGTGTTTCAAGGCACACCATACAATTTGTACAAACAGAACCAAAGGTTGAATATTTATCAATTGAGTTATATAAGAAGCTGAGATACAAAGCATAGATTTCAAATAGAAACATCTGAACTTCTGTAGTCAGAGGTCATTTGCTTGGTTACATTGGGCAAATTGTTTTTTGTGTTCTATTCTTGATCATCTTTCCTAATCATTCCAGTTGACCCAGCAGTAAATGGGTACAAATAATCTGAGAATGATCAATGCCAAGAGGTTTGACCGACCAGCTGGTGGAAAGGATGGTAGTGAACCTAAGTTTTTAGCCTTGTATAAAATGGATATTTGTTTCTTTTTTTTATTTTCTTTCTATGAATTCTGCACAATGGCCAAGATCAGTTTTGCTATTGTTTTCTTTTAGTGGTTGATACCTTGTTATTTTCAGGTTAAGTTATTAAAGAAATTATATCATGTCAAGTTAATTGAAGAAGTAAGTAACACCTGATACAAGTCTACAATTATTTTTATCAACTCTGATATTCTCTGGTGAAAAAATGGTCAGGACGAACAGTTTGTTATTTAACAATATGGCTCTGATAAAGTCAAAATACAAGAACACGACTTGAAATGGAAAGGCAACTATTTGTGGTTATCAAAGTTAGTGGTTTAAATGTATAAAGGGGCATAACTCTTATTTATAGATAAAGCTATAGACAACAAATGCTTTCATTGTTTTATTTTCTTGTAGACAGCAGAAGATATATCTTACCAGTATGTTTCTATGGAAGGCTTTATGGAAAAATTACCAATGAACAAGAAGAAAGCAACCTTACTAAAAACATGGAAAAGAAGATTTTTTAAAGCCAAAGATGGCTGGTTACATTATTATGAGGTAATGTGCTAAAACTTGTCAAGAATACTAAAATAGAAACTACAGACGTTTTAATTGTATAAGAAACAAAGAAGATCTTAACTAAATCTATGAGTTTCCCTATTCTTTCTGATTTCTGGAGCATTCTTTTTGTTCTGTTCTTTCCCAATACTCATTTTCCTTCTATTCCTATTAATATTTCCCCTTTTTTGGTGGTTTTCTCTCTTGAAATAGCAGAAAATGTGAATTTTAAAATTTTTGTCTGTTATAGAGCAGTAATAGAGACCGTCCCAGTGATAGTTTACAGTTAATGGGTGGTAAAATATTAGAAATGACAGATTTAGGATCTAGAATACTGGGTATTGATGATGGAGTAAGTTTCATTCTCAATTCATTTGTGTCTGGATTTTCAAATCAGAATGATCATAATGTTGAGGATGTACTTAATAATGTTTTCATTTATGGGTTATTTGATCAAATGAAAAAACATGATACATAATATATAGAAAAATTAAAAAAACACAGTAATGTTAAATGCGCTAAGTAACTTCATCTTCATGCATTCAATGATAGAAATGGTACCAGAAACTACAAGATAATTATAATATAAATATTTTGTTAATCATACAGAGAGGTAAATTTTTAATGGTAAGAGTTCCTAGTGATAAAGAATATGGTCAATGGAAACTAGCATTAGACAGTCAAATAGCTGATAATACTAAAGCAGGTTATCTACAACCTGTATTATATGCTAATCCACATCCAAAAAAGGTAAGTCTGTAATACTTATTTTTATTGAGCCACATTATAACTTATGAAGTGAGCTCTGTTAGATATGATTCTGAGGTCTTCTTATCTGTTTAATTCAGTAAATACACTTACTTTTTCATATGCCTGTCTTAACTTTTTACGGTGATTTCAAAGATTAGTTGTTCTTATGCAGATCGTGTATGTAAGGTTCATTTGGCAGAATGAGTGGAGCTCAAGTTAATAATATTTATGTCTGTCATTATATTTGTAGAAAGTGTTAGTTGTTGATATGGGTAGTAGTGCAATCAGAGCAGGTTTATTAGGAGAACAAGGTAATATGTTTATTTATTTCACGCTATACGATCCTTAGACAACTGACCTATTTTCAGCCTGCATCCCTACTGAAGTTGGACTCAATTGATGTGATGGCCACTATTTTAACAGTGAAGATATTTAATTACTGTATTTATTTTCTATACAGCTCTATAAGAAGGTTGTGGTGAGGTTTTTCAAACACTCTCAGGATCAGCCCAATGGTAGAACTCCATTTCAATTGCAATTTCCATTTAAAGAGGTCAATCCTAAGCCTTTAAATAAAATAATCAGAATTTGAAGTGTTTTAATAATTAATCTGATTATTTCAGCATCTCTTCCCCAGTTATTTTTCCCATGTGTAGCCTCTGTTAACAAGACGACTGGTGATATTATTGTTGGTGCTGATGCTTATAAACCAGAAAATAGATCTAATAGTAATTTAGTTTATCCAGTCCATCCATCTAATAAAATAGATAAGGTATTGAATACTATTTACTAATAATTTATCTATTATATCTTAGTATTTTTTTGTTTTCATGAAATCTTGTACATAGCTAAAACATGCTGAAATTTTCTCATTTAAGAAATATCAAAAGCAAATTCCAGATTTTGTTTCAAATAGCCTTGTAACATTCATCTTTCTCTTTATAACATTTAACTATTTAGTTATAACATTCATCTATTTAGTTATAACATTCATCTATTTAGTTATAACATTCAACTATTTAGTTATAACATTCATCTATTTAGTTATAACATTCATCTATTTAGTTATAACATTCATCTTTCTCTTTATAACATTCAACTATTTAGTTATAACATTCAACTATTTAGTTATAACATTCAACTATTTAGTTATAACATTCAACTATTTAGTTATAACATTCAACTATTTAGTTATAACATTCAACTATTAAGTTATAACATTCAACTATTTAGTTATAACATTCATCTATTTAGTTATAACATTCATATATTTAGTTATAACATTCAACTATTTAGTTATAACATTCATCTATTTAGTTATAACATTCAACTATTTAGTTATAACATTCATCTATTTAGTTATAACATTCATCTTTCTCTTTATAACATTCATCTTTGTATTTATAACATTCATCTATTTAGTTATAACATTCATCTATTTAGTTATAACATTCATCTATTTAGTTATAACATTCAACTATTTAGTTATAACATTCAACTATTTAGTTATAACATTCATCTATTTAGTTATAACATTCATCTATTTAGTTATAACATTCATCTTTTTAGTTATAACTTCCATCTTTGTCTTTATAACATTCATCTATTTAGTTATAACATTCATCTATTTAGTTATAACATTCATCTATATCTTTATAACATTCAACTATTTAGTTATAACATTCATCTATTTAGTTATAACATTCATCTTTTTAGTTATAACTTCCATCTATTTATTTATAACATCCATCATTTTTTTCTTTTTAACATTCATCTTTTTAGTTATAACATTCATCTATTTAGTTATAACATTCATCTTTCTCTTTATAACATACATCTTTCTCTTTATAACATTCATCAATTTAGACATTCAACTATTTAGTTATAACATTCAACTATTTAGTCATAACATTCATCTTTTTAGTTATAACATTCATCTATTTAGTTATAACATTCATCTATTTAGTTATAACATTCATCTTTCTCTTTATAACATACATCTTTCTCTTTATAACATTCATCTATTTAGACATTCAACTATTTAGTTATAACATTCAACTATTAAGTTATAACATTCAACTATTTAGTTATAACATTCATCTATTTAGTTATAACATTCATCTTTGTAGTTATAACATTCATCTTTGTCTTTATAACATTCATCTATTTAGTTATAACATTCATCTTTGTAGTTATAACATTCATCCTTCTCTTTATAACATTCATCTTTGTAGTTATAACATTCATCTTTGTAGTTATAACATTCATCTTTTTAGTTATAACATTCATCTATTTAGTTATAACATTCATCTATTTAGTTATAACATTCATCTATTTAGTTATAACATTCAACTATTTAGTTATAACATTCAACTATTTAGTTATAACATTCATCTATTTAGTTATAACATTCATCTATTTAGTTATAACATTCAACTATTAAGTTATAACATTCATCTATTTAGTTATAACATTCATCTTTCTCTTTATAACATTCATCTATTTAGTTATAACATTCAACTATTAAGTTATAACATTCAACTATTTAGTTATAACATTCATCTATTTAGTTATAACATTCAACTATTAAGTTATAACATTCATCTATTTAGTTATAACATTCATCTTTCTCGTTATAACATTCATCTATTTAGTCATATTATTCATATTTTTAGTTATAACATTCATCTTTCTCTTTATAACATTCATCTATTTAGTTATAACATTCATCTTTCTCTTTATAACATTCATCTATTTAGTCATAACATTCATCTTTCTCGTTATAACATTCATCTATTTAGTCATATTATTCATATTTTTAGTTATAACATTCATCTTTCTCTTTATAACATTCATCTATTTAGTTATAACATTCATCTATTTAGTTATAACATTCATCTTTTTAGTTATAACATTGATCTATTTAGTTATAACATTCATCTATTTAGTTATAACATTCATCTTTCTCTTTATAACATTCATCTATTTAGTCATAACATTCATCTTTCTCGTTATAACATTCATCTATTTAGTCATATTATTCATATTTTTAGTTATAACATTCATCTTTCTCTTTATAACATTCATCTATTTAGTTATAACATTCATCTTTCTCTTTATAACATTCATCTATTTAGTTATAACATTCAACTATTAAGTTATAACATTCAACTATTTAGTTATAACATTCATCTATTTAGTTATAACATTCATCTATTTAGTTATAACATTCAACTATTAAGTTATAACATTCATCTATTTAGTTATAACATTCATCTTTCTCTTTATAACATTCATCTATTTAGTCATAACATTCATCTTTCTCTTTATAACATTCATCTATTTAGTCATATTATTCATATTTTTAGTTATAACATTCATATTTTTAGTTATAACATTCATCTTTATCTTTATAACATTCATCTATTTAGTTATAACATTCAACTATTTAGTTATAACATTCAACTATTTAGTTATAACATTCAACTATTTAGTTATAACATTCAACTATTTAGTTATAACATTCATCTATTTAGTTATAACATTCATCTTTTTAGTTATAACATTCATCTATTTAGTTATAACATTCATCTTTATCTTTATAACATTCATCTATTTAGTTATAACATTCAACTATTTAGTTATAACATTCAACTATTTAGTTATAACATTCAACTATTTAGTTATAACATTCAACTATTTAGTTATAACATTCATCTATTTAGTTATAACATTCATCTTTTTAGTTATAACATTCAACTATTTAGTTATAACATTCAACTATTTAGTTATAACATTCAACTATTTAGTTATAACATTCATCTTTTTAGTTATAACATTCATCTTTCTCATTATAACATTCATCTATTTAGTCATAACATTCAACTTTCTCTTTATAACATCCATCTTTCTGGTTGAATTTTAGTATTTTATCAATTTTATCTGTATTAGTACAACCCTAGAAATAGAGGAGATTTTCAGGTATAATTTATGTATTTTATCAATTTTATTTTTTTTGGAAAGGATATCTTTATAATAGAAGTAATGTTTAAGGAAACAAAATTATTTTCATAACTTATTATTCTTATTTCACAGGGTTGACAGAGTTTGACTATTTCACATCTCTTTCATTCACTATTTCTATATGTCTTAATTTAAGGTGTCAATAGGCATAGTAAGTAATCACTGTATTCAAATGTGATTTTATTGGCACGTTTTATCTTTGTATGTTGAAGCATCTTTTAGCATGTTTGAATTATTGTTCATGTTATTCATGCAGGGCTGTTTTAAAAAACAAGTTTTACCAGTAGATTTAAAAAAAAAATTTGTTTGTTTTCAATACGAAAGATTCGTTAAGCCTAAGTATGCTAAAAATAGAAATAGTAATTTTGCATGTGCATGTTAAGTATATCAATGAGTGTAAGACAGGCAACATTGAGATATACATGAAACTGCAAAAGTACCAGTTTGCACATAATATGATCCAATGATTGGATATCTAGATTTACCCAAAAATTGATATGGGATGTCAAAAAGTCTGCCCATGAATTTGTAGATTATAACTAACATAACTGGCAACTTAGCCAAATCAACAGCCCTGCTTTACTGCATGACAAAAAGGCACATATTGAATGATTGCATGCACTGTTATTTAATTATTATGATGATATGATTATCTCTTGGTATTGTACTAATTGAAGCATAACGGTGAAACATGTTATTTACTTCTCAAGTACAGGAATATCTATTTAGAAAAAGAATTTATAGCATCTGTGCATGTAATATGTTAAATTATATATCATTACTGTATTAACAGATATTTCATATTATATTCATAGATAAAACAAATATTTCTAGAGCATTTTTTATCAGTTCAAAAGGATCTAATTTGTGTTGTGTTAATATCCCTAAGTGTCTTACAATTTTAAAAACAATGATTTCTGATTTTTCTTCACAATAAGAAAAGAAAGTTCTGGGACAGCAAAACTTATTAATGAAATTTAAAACTAGATAAAAAACATATAAGGGTTTAATGATTTTATATTTTTGATGTTCCACAAATATTTTAATTTCAGTTTACCATTGATTGGAAAGTTATAAAAGTTTTATTTCAAAAAATATTTACTGAGTTAAAGATCAATCCGTCACAGCACTGGGTAAGTATTTGTTTGTTATCTAAGGATTCCATGCTGACAGTAATATTGATAGATTGAAGCACTTTGTTTGATAACCATTAACAAATTTACTGTACTTTAAAATGTGGATGCCTTCATATAATGTAATGGTTGCTGTTCTTGGCAGACTTGTAACTCTTCTTAAAGAAGTTAAGATTAGTGTTTCTTGTTGCCTGAATTTGCTACACATAATTCTGAAATAAAATAAATATTGGATCCTGTGACCTATTTCTTAGTCAGTAAGATTTATTATACTATTAATAGTTTGATTGAAATACTATTAATAGTTTGATTATACTATTAACAGTTTGATGAAACTATTAACAGTTTGATTATGCTATTAATAGTTTGATTATACTATTAATAGTTTGATGAAACTATTAACAGTTTGATTATACTATTAATAGTTTGATGACACTATTAACAGTTTGATTATGCTATTAATAGTTTGATTAAAATACTATTAATAGTTTGATTATACTATTAACAGTTTGATTATACTATTAACAGTTTGATTATACTATTAATAGTTTGATTATACTACTAATAGTTTGAATGTACCATTAATAGTTTGATGACACTATTAACAGTTTGATTATGCTATTAATAGTTTGATTAAAATACTATTAATAGTTTGATTATACTATTAACAGTTTGATTATACTATTAACAGTTTGATTATACTATTAATAGTTTGATTATACTATTAATAGTTTGATTATACTATTAATAGTTTGAATGTACCATTAATAGTTTGATGACACTATTAACAGTTTGATTATACTATTAATAGTTTGATGACACTATTAACAGTTTGATTTTACTATTAACAGTTTGATTATACTATTAACAGTTTGATTATACTATTAAGAGTTCGATTATACTATTGATAGTTTGATTAAATTATTAACAGTTTGATTATACTATTAACAGTTTGATTATACTGTTAATAGTTTGATTATACTATTAACAGTTTGATTATACTATTAACAGTTTGATTATACTATTAATAGTTTGAATGCACTATTAACAGTTTGATTATACTATTAACAGTTTGATTATACTATTAATAGTTTGATTATACTATTAGCAGCTTGAATGTACCATTTATAGTTTGATTATACTATTAATAGTTTGAATGTACCATTAATAGTTTGATTATACTATTAATAGTTTGAATGTACCATTAATAGTTTGATGACACTATAAACAGTTTGATTATACTATTAATAGTTTGATGACACTATTAACAGTTTGATTATACTATTAATAGTTTGATGACACTATTAACAGTTTGATTATACTATTAATAGTTTGATGACACTATTAACAGTTTGAATGTGCCATTAATAGTTTGACTATACTATTAATAGTTTGAATGTACCATTAATAGTTTGATGACACTATTAACAGTTTGATTATACTATTAATAGTTTGATGACACTATTAACAGTTTGATTTTACTATTAACAGTTTGATTATACTATTAACAGTTTGATTATACTATTAATAGTTCGATTATACTATTGATAGTTTGATTAAATTATTAACAGTTTGATTATACTATTAATAGTTTGATTATACTATTAATAGTTCGATTATACTATTTGATAGTTTGATTAAATTAACTAATAGTTTGAATGTACCATTAATAGTTTGATGACACTTTTAACAGTTTGATTACACTATTAACAGTTTGATTATACTATTAACAGTTTGATTATACTATTAACAGTTTGATTATACTATTAACAGTTTGATTATACTATTAATAGTTTGATTATACTATTAATAGTTTGATTATACTATTAATAGTTTGATTATTAACAGTTTGATTATACTATTAATAGTTTGATGACACTAGTAACAGTTTGATTATACTATTAACAGTTTGATTATACTATTAACAGTTTGATTATACTATTAATAGTTTGATTATACTATTAACAGTTTGAATGTACCATTAATAGTTTGATGACACTATTAACAGTTTGATTATACTATTAATAGTTTGATGACACTATTAACAGTTTGATTTTACTATTAACAGTTTGATTATACTATTAACAGTTTGATTATACTATTAAGAGTTCGATTATACTATTGATAGATTGATTAAATTATTAACAGTTTGATTATACTATTAACAGTTTGATTATACTATTAACAGTTTGATTATACTATTAACAGTTTGATTATACTATTAATAGTTTGATTATACTATAACAGTTTGATTATACTATTAACAGTTTGATTATACTATTAACAGTTTGATTATACTATTAATAGTTCGATTATACTATTGATAGTTTGATTAAATTATTAACAGTTTGATTATACTATTAATAATTTGATTATACTATTAATAGTTTGATTATTCTATAACAGTTTGATTATACTATTAACAGTTTGATTATACTATTAATAGTTTGAATGCACTATTAACTGTTTGATTATACTATTAACAGTTTGATTATACTATTAATAGTTTGATTATACTATTAACAGCTTGAATGTACCATTTATAGTTTGATTATACTATTAATAGTTTGAATGTACCATTAATAGTTTGATTATACTATTAATAGTTTGAATGTACCATTAATAGTTTGATGACACTATTAACAGTTTGATTATACTATTAATAGTTTGATGACACTATTAACAGTTTGATTATACTATTAATAGTTTGATGACACTATTAACAGTTTGATTATACTATTAACAGTTTGATTATACTATTAACAGTATGATTATACTATTAATAGTTTGATGACACTATTAACAGTTTGAATGTGCCATTAATAGTTTGACTATACTATTAATAGTTTGAATGTACCATTAATAGTTTGATGACACTATTAACAGTTTGATTTTACTATTAACAGTTTGATTATACTATTAACAGTTTGATTATAGTATTAATAGTTCGATTATACTATTGATAGTTTGATTAAATTATTAACAGTTTGATTATACTATTAATAATTTGATTATACTATTAATAGTTTGATTATTCTATAACAGTTTGATTATACTATTAACAGTTTGATTATACTATTAATAGTTTGAATGCACTATTAACAGTTTGATTATACTATTAACAGTTTGATTATACTATTAACAGTTTGATTATACTATTAATAGTTTGAATGCACTATTAACAGGTTGATTATACTATTAACAGTTAGATTATACTATTAATAGTTTGAATGCACTATTAACAGTTTGATTATACTATTAACAGTTTGATTATACTATTAACAGTTTGATTATACTATTAACAGTTTTATTATACTATTAACTGTTTGATTTTACTATTAACAGTTTTATTATACTATTAACAGTTTGATTTTACTATTAACAGTTTGATTATACTATTAACAGTTTGATTTTACTATAAACAGTTTGATTATACTATTAATAGTTTGATTTTACTATAAACAGTTTGATTATACTATTAATAGTTTGATTATACTATTAATAGTTTGAATGTATCATTAATAATTTTCTGACTGGTTATGATAAGATGTATAACTGTTAAAGCTAGCATATACAAAATCTTCAAGGCATCAACTGTAGTGAGTTATATTAAAGTAATGTTATGTAATTGTTTATAAGTTACATTTTGCATCCAGTATTTCTAAGATTTTATAATTTTGCAGGTTATGTTGAGTACACCACAGAGCTTAGGTGATAATTTAAAGGAAGGCTTAATGGAAGTATTTATAAACCAGTACAATATGTGTGGTGTATGTATGGTACAACAATCTCTTCTTTCACTTTATTCTTATAAAGCTACTTCTGGTATTATAGTAGATATTGGACAGAGAATAGAAATATTACCTATATATGATGGTAAGCTCAAGATTTTAATATTTTGTTTGGAACCTTCCTGGGATTTGTGTTATTAAAATTGACAGCTCACGCTGGGTCAACTCTCAGAGGTTCTAACCATTGCATATAAATTGTTGTCACCATCATGTAGCAGTCAACAATCTACTCGTGTTTAGCCCAGTAAATATTCATTGAGCCAGAGTCGGGCACGGGAAAGGCCAGGTGATAGGAGTTGAAAGCCAATACAAAAATAGATTGCTAGCCCTTGAATCCAGTTCGTTTGATTGATCAACAAACAACTTGTGTGTAGGACTGGAAAAGAGACTTTGGTGATGAAATGATCCAAAACATAATCTGGCAGTGCTGAGATGTTTCCTATCTGAATGTTTTTCTGATATTTTGATCATTTCAGGTTTTGTGATATCTGGTGGTGTTTCTAGATTACCTTATGGTTCTGACAAAATACAGAATTCTTTAACACAATCTTTATTAGAAAATAATTACTCCTTCCAATCTACTATAGAACAATTAATAGTTAAATATATTATGGAACAGGTAAAAAAAAAACATATACTCAGAATAAGCTATGTGAACTCTTGAAAAGTAATCCCAAGCAAAGGGTTGCTAGTTTAGCATTGCCTATGTTGATGCTAGTACCAATAAAGGTATAGTGTGGGATCTAGACATTACCAAAATTAGTCTTTAGGCACAGGGACATAGTAATGTCTTGATGGACTCATTAATGGTTCAGCTTTGTATAGATACAGACATTTATACAAATTAAGCTTTTGTTATGATGAAAATTCTCTTAAATAGTAATATATGTCTGGTCCTACCGGTGACAAAAAATCACATCCATTACGTCTGAGGTATATTAATCATAAGGCAGTCATCTAACCATGTTTTTTAATGTTACAGAGTTGTTATGTAGCCAGTCATTATAAGAATGAATTAAGTGAATGTAAAAATGCTGACAATAAAATATCTACAACAGTTAAATTAGATGGCTTTGATTTACCACCAACAGCTTATTCGTAAGTTTACAATGATTTTAATTCATAATCAATGCTTCATCTCGTGATTCATAGTAAAAAATAAGCTCTATTATTTCAGAGTAAAATATTCTCTATTATTTCATAGTAAAAAATAAGCTCTATTATTTCAGAGTAAATTATTAAGCTCTATTTTTTCAGAGTAAAATATAAGATCTATTATTTCATATTAAAAAATAAGCTCTATTATTTCAGAGTAAAATATTCTCTATTATTTCAGAGTAAAATATTCTCTATTATTTCAGAGTAAAAAATTAGCTCTATTATTTCAGAGTAAATTATTAAGCTCTATTATTTCATAGTAAAATATTAAACTCAGTTATTTCATAGTAAAATATTAAGCTCTATTATTTTTATAGTAAAATATTAAGCTCTATTATTTTATAGTAAAATATTAAGCTTTATTATTTCATAGTCAAATATTAAGCTCTTTCATTTTTCTTTGAAATATTTATTTCTGTACTTTATTTTTGTTATTATTATTCATCTCCAATGTTTTTTTCATTTTTCTGTTTTTAGTGAAGTGAAATATGATGAAGGAAGATTTAAAAGTACAGAAGGTTTATTTGATACTGACATGTGGGAAATGGATTTTCCTAATTTACATAAACTGGTATTTCAAGCTATACAGATGTGTCCCATGGATAACAGGAGACACATGTATAGGTATGCTACTAGTCATTCTTTTTTAAAGTTATTATTTATCTTATTAGAGCTGTGAGTATTTTTTTTATCGCTGGTTACAGAATATTTATTGATGATTTCATTATAGAAAGTACTTTGATAAGTTGAGATTCTCAAAAAGGTCAAAGAACTTGTTTCTTAAGTTCAGATTCTGAACAAGTAAAATTTGTTATTAACATAAAAAATAAGCTCCATTCCTTGTGAGTCAATAGTTTAATTAAAGTTACAGGATCCACTGGTCGTGGTGTCCTTATTGGAGACAACACTACCCGAAATCATAAACTAAATCAAACTTCAATTGCCTAAGAGCTTAAAACAATATTAACATATATTTGAGGTTATTTTCTATGTATATTATAGAGCTATATATTTATCTGGTGGAGTAACTATGTTACCAGGCTTTGCTGATAGATTTAAAATAGAACTGACAAAACTAGCTCCACCTGGTGTACCTATAGAGGTAAGATGACTTAAATACCAGGACTGACCTTCAACTGTTTCTTCAACCAAATTTTCTCCCAATGAGCAAGCAATAATTTCAAGATGAAAAATTTCATTAATAGCTAAAACATAACATGACATAAACCCCTTTTACATTACAAAATGTAATTTTGCGTAAATGGTAGGAGGTTCTGAGAACCGTTCCAATTCTGGCCCACTGAACTGTTCTCAGAACGGAATCGATAAATTGATGTTTTGTAAACAGTTTGAATATAGAGTTTAAAAATGGGAACAATTTATTGCTGCCTGATCAGGACTGACAACGGAACACTTTATAGCAGCATTCTGTAAAAGGGGTTTTAGTTAGACATATTGAGGTTATATTTGGACATGGTACCCCTAAATCAATAAGTTCCAAATGAATACCATACTTACTAATTACTATATTATTTTAGGTACACGCTTCTCAGAACCGGTACCATGCTGCTTATATTGGCGCCTGTTCTGTTGCTGGTATGAATGAATTTGAAATGATGTGTATTGATAAAAATCAATGGAAAACTGAAGGAAAGAAAGCATTCAGAAAATGGCAGGCACCAACTGCATGATTTTTATGATTTATTTTTTCTTTTTGTGGGAGACATTGTTCTATTTTACGGTGTTTTACATATATATATTATGATGTGCTATTTCTGAAAATCCAACATGTTTTTATTATGTATCTTATATTTATTGAAGAATTTTATCATAATATTTCTATACAATTATCATTATTAGTGTATATTTCATTACCTTACATTCTGATAACATTCCTATTATAGATGAGTTGTGCATCATTTTTTTTTCCATTTTTGACTGTGATTTGGATCTTTTGGGTATGCCTTAAAATGTTTTTACATCTAAGCCGTATTGTGTAATATGTATATGAATTTATACAAAACATGAAATTACAATGTAATGCAACTTTTTACAAATCTGTTTGATTGTATTTACATAAACAGTTCATTCAAAATATTTCTTTGTGATGTTATTTTGTACCATAAAGTGAAGATGTAAACATGTCTCATTGCTAACGATACTCATTATAAGAAGATTAGATGATATTCTAGTTTGTAAATTGGGCAGTTAGTTCATATTGGTGAAAATAGAAAATCTATGAATGCTGCCTTATCTTTAACATGTCTCATAAATATTATATATTTCTTCATTCTTGAAAACGTGAAGTACCCAGATATACACAAATAACTTGTCCTGCTATATTTGTCATTGTTATATTTGATTACATCAGAGTGATTTAAGTAGTAAAAAATTGTCAATAAATGGTGATTCTGATTCTATATAGAAAACAACTGAATCAACATCAGCATTTATTTTGGGCAAAAACTTCATGGTACTCTGTCAGTACTTGTATTTGTAATAGGTAATGCTTTTTCCATCTAGTATTCAATAATTGAACCCATCTTCCACTGTATAACAGCTTCTTATAAGGCCAAAATATTTGAAAAGCATTTGCCTCTGAAAAGTAAAGGTTGCTTGTTTGGGTATTAATAATGTGGATAAGAGTTTGATAAGACTATATTATTTATGTAATATATGTATTTTAATCATTAATTTATTAACAAATATGTACATATCTCTATCTACCAAATATTTTAATTTGCACGTGATATTTTTACATTCATTCCTTTATTTTATTTTTTAACATTATATCTACATGATTTTATAGAGTTCTGTAATATTTTTGACTAATTATTCCATCCTCTTTAACTATGCAAATTATAGCACCATTATACTATAAGTTATAATCTATTTCCCTGGTTGTTTCTGGCTGTAAATTCAATTGTTGCCATCATGTGGATCTGTTGTGTGAGATTAAGCTATAATTGTAATATTTGATGAAAATTCTGATACTATATAAGTAAATATTCTGTGTTTTAGTGAAATATCGCTTTTTACTGATGAGAGATTTGGACCATTACTAATAATAATGTTCATAATATGAAAGTGTTGGTGACCATATAAATCTAAAAATTCGGTAGGAATTTGTAATTGTAAAATCTTGTCAAGTGAGTTAAAGGAATACAAATGAGATGGGCTTATGGTTCAGGATAGTTTTATTTTTATGAATGATATTTGGATGGAGAGTTATATAGACCTTATGCAGCGGACACACTAGGCGAATTTTCACGGCGAATGGTTCGGGCGAATCAATCGGCAGTAAAATTCGCCTTGAGTCTTCTAGTGTGTGGCCGAAGCCATTCGCCGACATCAAGCATGTTTGATAATATTCGGCCGAATATTAATCGCCGCCGACTCATTCGGCAAGTGTGTCCACTCGGCCGAAGTTTAAGGCGAATATTCCTATAACTCAACCAATCACAGACGCCGAAGCGTCACATGACAAACAAAATGGCGACCTCCAACGATGCAATGTGGAGTCAGGAAAAAGAAGAGGAATTAATCATATTATTATGGTTTTCCTATTCTCCCATCGCGCTCTTCTTTTTCGCATTCGACGTAAAACCAAAAGAGTTCCGAGTACAATTGCCACTTTCCGCTTCTTTCTGGACACCGCCATTTTGTGATCATGTGACTGTCTCCCCTACGCATGCGTAATTTAATTCGCTGGCAAATTATCGACACAAACATTCGCCCAGTGTGTCCATTTCGTCGGCCGAATGGATTCGGTGGCGAATTGTTCGGGCGAAGTACCAGGGAATTAAATTCGCCTAGTGTGTCCGCTGCATAATTCATATTGAATTATTGTGTCATAACAAGGCTCATAGTACTAACATAAAACGGAAACAATGTGTCACAGCATTAAATAACCACCTTGATGACTTTAACATCTCCTTTTCCATTCTCATTTACTCAAAGTATATCAAATTTTACATCATTAAAATAGGAATTGATAAAGCTGTTTAATGATACTTCAAATGAAGTTCATATATCTGATGTGTCACATAGGCTATTCCTTCATATGACTTCGGTATATTTTCAAAGCCTCGTATTCGATGTGTTCAAAACATGGCGTGAATAAGGTCCATTATTCCTTCCAAATCCAACAATTATCTACAAACCACTTTTACTGTGCAGCATTTTTCAGCACATTCCTTATTTTCAAATATTTGTTATTGTAAAATATTATAGATCTTATTAAAGTGAAATGTACAGCAATATATCATGGCATTATGTTAGTTATTTCCCTATCAGGTTTATAAGTGACCTAGATCAGTTGTTCAATAGGAAAGTAGTAATTGGAAATTTGTCTTTTATCATAACAGAATAACTTTATGCTCTATTTCTCCTGCTTCTGGTATGTCAAACATAAACACTTCTGTTATTTAAACATTTCAGTTAATAAAATGTAGCTTGAAAATGTTTTATTTCATTATAAAATTAAAGTCACCTTATACATAAAGGTCAGATGATGTTTATAGTAGACTTATCAGCTTCCAAGGAATAAAGACTAATCCATGACTACGGTACAAGATCTCATGTTTAGTAAACCAGTGATCATAGTTCCTTTTTGATTTTATACAATAAACCAGACATATTTCTTGAAAACCAGTAGCATAGCCAGTTTGTTTTACTCTCTGAGAAACAATACATGTATCTAATACAATTTAGTAAGAATTAAATGACTGTGGGCTGAAAATGGAAAGTATAAGAGTACCGGTAGCCTCCCATTAGCCACTTTTGATATGGGATGTTTTAACATGCACACCCGATGTCATTCTGCAACAGAGTCACACATAGCTAGTTATGATTTATTCATTATTTCATGTTCAGAGCAAAATAGATATAAGATCCACTTGATGGAAGAAGAAATTGAATATCTAATGAAAGCCAGTAGTTTGCAATTGGGTAACAAAATTTCTACCATCTCAGTAGATCCAGGCCTCGGTTGCACACAAACGCCTATAGGCTACCCTCTTTATCAATATCAGATTCTCCAACATGCTGCTAGTTGTTAGAGTTCCAGTTGTTCCAAGATCTTAGCCCAATACAAATTCACAGCACTATAATTATGAGGACTATATCAAAAGGCATTTAGAATACAAAACAATAATTTATTTCATGACTCATGACCACTCATAGCGAACAGAACTATACATTCATATTTTATTGAAACAAAGATTAAGAAGGGAAAATTGGATATGTATGCTAGAACCTCAATGAAAATCTAACATGCTATGCAAGCCTGTATCAAATGCGTTAAGTTACAAATAATACCAGTGTATGTTAGACATTTCCAATAATATTATTTTCTGAGCTTTCAGGCAAGGTTATTGAGTGGTTTGCTTGCTTGAAAATAATGACTGATAATCATCCTATCAAAAAATACGGCAGACTTAAACTGACTAATTCATGTTTTTCTCAGACTAAATAACTTAATTTCAAATTGTTTTAAAATATAGTCGTAGGCCTACACAAGTTTAATTGTCACCTGAAAGCCATTACTTTGTTAAAGAGACAATCAATAATAGATAAATCACTTATTCTCGTTTGAAAGGCAGAAATCATCATATATTTATAGTTTTTCAAAGGCAAAGGAAACAAAGCTAGGCATTAAAATAAATTATAAAGAAGAGCTGACGTGATAGTCTGACATCAAATAGCCTATCAATTGTTTACAAGATATATATATATTTATTATATTATGTATAATATATGGATTAATGAATAGCAAATGATGTACTTTGGTAGAAAATGTAACATTAACAAAAATATCTCATTAATGACTACTCATGTCTCAATCTGATTTATCCAGAAATTTTCATAGAACTGAGTTGCATTTGACCAAAGTACATCATTATAATATATATTTAAATATTAACATCATTGCTATGAATATGGATTGGGTATTGCACTGCACAAATAGATATTCATCTTTCATGAATAACATTATCAAAAAATCTTCATAAAAACAATCACTTTAATAAAAGTTTATGAAATAAAATGTACATCTTATAAAGTTGGTTAAAATTACTCATATCTGTAATATAACCATAGTTGATGAGGTGTTGCCATGTCTGAAGTTGTGGTGAAAACAATACAACATTTTTATCAAAGTTCAAAAAGCATACAGCAGGGGGCACCACCGGTCACAGAAGTATGCCACATATATATGCACGTTCATACGACTTAATAAAGGCAAGCACATGGCCTCATAAGTTGTCATTCACAAAGACCAATATTTGCACCAATTAGAATACAGTATTCACAAGATTGTTTTTATTATTTTTAACACCCACTTTGACATAAATATTAAGCAACTTGAAACATGTAAAATTTGTATCTAAAAGTGGACGTCCCATGATAACTGGACAGATGCATTCTTTGGCTACGGTACATTTTCAATGGCCGCAAATATTCATCAAATATTGTACACAATAAATATTATTTCATAGCCCACTATATCAACAAATATACATATAATTCTTACACAAGTCATGTTACTAATAATAAACACATCACACAGTAGTTACCGATAATAATGGATTACCTCCCTTACCCTCAGGTACTCGACTACCATGAGCCAATACTTCCTGAACTGTCACAAAGTTATCTAAAACTTTTTTATTTTTATGTTTCATCATTTTACGATGACTAAGTTCAACAATATTCACTTCCTTTTTCTCTTCAGCTTCTTTCAAGGTTTCCATTCTTTCCTTTTGAAGTATTTCCTTCTTACGACGATAATCACGAGCTTTCTCAACATGTTTCTTTCTATCCTCCTTGCTCCAATAGCGCCCAGTTTTCATTTCACTCATAGCATCATCATCTGTCGTCATTCCTTGTCTTTCATCATGGATTTTCTTACCTCTTTCTTTCAAGAGCTTATTTCTAACAGGACGTCTTGTAATATACCTTGTACCATCAGGGCGTCTTTTGACGACCCACTCCATAGCACCATCTGAATTGGTGTTTGGGGATTTACTAGCATCACCAGACAGATCTTTACTGCCACTAGGTGTCACTGCTGCTGATCGTACCCCAGAACGGTGTTGTTCTATCTGCTGTTGAAAGAGTTTTTGTTGAACAGCAATAGTATGTTGAAGATTGGCACGGTTAGTATACATGACATCAGCATACTGCATGTATAAATCTTGTAATGATTCGCCCATAGACACCTTCTCTGGCATCTTACTGTCTTTAACACATACTTTAGGATTAGGAAGGGTTCCCAGACCATGTCCACTATCATCACTAGAGTAATCACGTGGTTTAGTTGGAGTTTGAGTTTGTTTTTCAGTATCACTTGATGAAGGAACATTCACAGCTAAACACAACATAGAATTTTTAAATCCCTTTTCTCCTTCATCACTAGCTTGATTCAATTCCAGGGTAAGCGGTGTACTACGACAACTTTCAGCAGTATTATAAGCACTAGTTGTCGATGTGTCTTTTTCCTTGTCAGTCATCGGACGATTTATTTGTTGTCCCATTCTCATATTTGATAACTCCCCACGACGAATCCAGAAATCAGACAAGTCCATAGCCTGCATCTGTTTCATGTAATCTAAACGAGTACCCATTCTAGGTACAATACGCGGTGATTTCTGAGTGTCTTGTTTTATGAATTTAGTTTGTTCTTTCAGATGTGCATGAACAATCTCCTGACATTCAAACTGAATCTCTTCCATTTCTTGATTTAACATAGATAATTCACGCTCAAGACTACTCTCGGAATCTTTCCGTAAGCACTGTTTTCTTGGTGAATTTTCAGAACTACTGCTACCACACCTATTCTCCAGAACCTGACGAAATTTATCGCAAGCTTCAGCAGATATTTCATTATTTACATATTCAGGATCATTGGATGTAAAACTTTCATTACTATGGTGATGTTCACCAACAACATTTCGAAATTTCATTTTAGTTGGTGGTGTGACACAGTCAGCATCAAAAGTTTCCTGAAAGAACAAAGAAAATTGTTCAGAAAATATATTCTTATTTGTATAAGTTATTAATAAACATTCTATGATTTAAAAAGATTTTGATTGAATTTCTTAATTTTGTGGCATACTGTATTCACAATATGCACAAATAATTTCTTAAGTTATTGAAGATAATTTACCTGTTCAGAACTCTCATCATTTTTCATACTATCATCTGTACGTCCAACACCACTATCTTTATCTTGTTTGTTAGAAGAGTTCTCTGTAGTAGCAGTATCAGTGGTACCACCTTCTTCATCAAGATTGCGCTGTGAAAAGAAAGATCAAATTTCTACTTTATTGATTTGAAATAAAAGAATGATTGCTTCACAAAGACCATGGTATGTACAATATTCAGACATAACAAATTGTTCATACCAGCTTGGTAAATAAACTGCCAATCAAAAGGCTGGATTTCAGTACCATATTCAAACTATCAATAGCCAATATAAATATATAAAGAACTATGTGCAGTCAAGTTTGAAAGAAATGATTCCTTTCATGTTGAAATAGCTTTATTTATCCTATTTGCCATTTGGAATGTAAGATGGCTGCCATCCAAGTCAAACTTGGATTCAGGCTAAAAGCGATGACTAGGGAACATGTGAACCAATGGTACAGAGTTAATCAAGATGAAATAACAATGAAAATATTTACAAATATACTAAACTACACCATTAAATGTACATCAACAAGATTTTCATCCATACCACTATTCACTGGCATGATATATTTTCTCAATTGATATTGTTTGTGTTTAGACTAACAATTTTTTTCAAAAGAAATGGTCAAGTCTAGGATGTCTGTGTTTTACTTTCTTTAGTGGTATTAAGACTCACTGAATTGTATGCATCAAATATGCTGTATAGGTTCTTAACTCACAGAACATTCAGCAAATACATCAAAGAACTTAATACCAAACTTACCCTGACTAACATGGATGCCATAAACTGCATATTATCATGATGTTGTTTTTCTAATAAATCCATATGTAAATCATCCAATACCATATTCTCCATGAAGGCATCTTCACACTGAAAACCATATAACAGATAACAATAAATTTCTAAAAATATATATATTGAAACAACCTTTCTGGGCAGTTAATGTAGATGATGTAATTCCATAGATAAGTTTTCCATTGTATTAATCATCACCATCTTAAGACGACTTCTGGTTGCAATGAAACTGGAGTTAGAAATGCCATAAGATTGGCTTCTATACCTCTCTATTTTAGAAGATGTTTAATCTAATAGAGAGTGTAAAATATATAAGTATGGTCTAGTAACAATGTTTTTTTTATAGTGGAAAGTGCTAATTTTCTCTCTTGTATTTAATAATTGATGATATAAACGAGGTCTACCAGTTCAACAAGCATTGGGAAGCATTTTAAATATATCTATCCATCACAGTCTTTATAAATATGACTAAACAAATCTATATTAATGTCATTAGGATTCGGCCTTGTATATTATTATTATTCAATATGTTGTTGTTATCATTGTAATTTAGTCAAATCCAAAAATTTCTTCAATTAGTTTGAATGAATGATTGAGTGAACATCATCTGCATGGTTACGTGGACTAAATGGCAGCTGTGGGTTCAATTCTCAGTCGGCGTGTGATAGTCCGAGGACCTTGAACAAGTCATCTTCACTCATAATTCCAGTTGACCCAGCTGTAAATGGATACGGATAATCAGGGAAAGATCAATGCCAAGAGGTTTGGCCAAGGACCAGCTGGTTAACCTTGTAAAATATAGTTGTTTCTTTCTTTTCTTTCTTCAACATATGCCATATTAGACTTGAGACTAGGTAAGTCCTTAATTAAGACAATTGAAGGAAACTTTCAACCAGCAAAGAAGACAATTTGCCACCTTTTTATAAGCAGCTGATTATGGTTACAGATCTTGGGACAACAGGAAGGTGGATAATCACATATTTAGCAATTCCTCCAGAGAAATACTAATGTCATTCTAGATTAAAATAACAATTACTTGTCTTATAAAACCAGTTAGTTATCTTTATTTAAATAAGTTATCTATTAGTGAATGAGATAACTGTATAATTACCCACAAGGTTAAATATTTTCACTGTCTATTTACATAACATTATACAACACATTCATTCATTGTCATTTTCATTGAGAATAAAATATCTGAGGTTTACTCAATTCTAAAGTTGTTACATTGTCAGTGGTTTTTGTATCTTATTACCCAAATGCTCTAGTTACTTTCTATTTTAAAAATACAAGGCAATATATACCTTGAGATATAAAAGTACTTTAAGGACAATCTCTTGGTTCTTTTACAAACCTAGTTATATCAAACTGTAAAGTAGAGGAAAGGTAACTGTTTTTTAACAGAAATGAAGATTGTAACAGCACCATGACCTTTAGATCGTTCTTTATTCTTTCACAACTAAACATTCAACCATAAATCTGGCCATGTATTCTCAAATGATCTTGGGACTAAGATGTCTAAGGTCTTAACTTCTTACACTCTTTCTAGGATATTCTAGCCCTAAAGATCGCTTGATGTCTATGAGGTATATTAAGTCATATGTTTTGCCCTTATATCATTGTGGATAAGATTCAATCATTGTCTAAGTAAGGTAAAAAGCCATAAAGAAATCATGAAAGCCCTTATATCAAAAGAAATAAATGGAATATTCTGTATAAATACAGGTATTATCATTTTACTTAATCTCTTATATTTATCTTATTACTTCATATTATTTATATTCTAAATTCTTTTATCTTTCTACCTCATTATATATAACATAACTTAATCATCTTCTTATCAATATAATCCTACTGCATAATATCAACATAGAAGAGAATTTATCAGAATCAATTCACCAAACCAAGAGAGTTTTTCTCAACTATATAATGGAATTGTACACCAATAGATAAGTCTTGATAATACTAGAAAACATTCAGTCTTGTTTATAATGTACTTCTTATCTCCATACAGTCAGCATATCTTTGAAGTCTGGATTAGTTCTAAGACTCTATAATGCATAAGATTTACTGGCTTTTATAATGTGATTATTCTGATCTTTTCAACAGTGACTTGAAATAACAAAAACATTCAAATTGTTCTTTGAACATTTAACTCCTTAGCACTTTCGGGCAATGTACATATTGTGAGGATAGTCTATAAGTCTGACACACATCAATTGAAATCAGTATTCATAACAAAAGATCTTGTGTCTTGCAGGAAAGTACCTCTTAAGGGCATAGAAAACCCTATGCTCACCTCTCTCTTATTGAAACAAAAATCTATTTGCTGTCTCTAGTTTTGTAAAATAGAATGTCTTTAACTTCTGAATTTAGATATTGTTATTACTAAATAATTTTGATAATACAAAGCAATATTCAAACCAATATATATTCCAGAAATTCTGTAAAGGTGCCAGAAGAGTTTCGTGTAAAATAATAATTATCTAGTAGTGGTTCACCAACAAACCAATGTATCGTTAACACAGCAAGTATTACTAGAAATACTATTTAGAAAGAAAACAGTATTTCCTGATGAACACAGGTCAAATTCTCCTTACTTCATACAACCAATACCAAACACTTGCAAAAAACTGACACAATTCTGTCAGTTTGACAAAAATAACCAGGGTTAATAAAAACAATATAGATAATGTGAAGTTTGAGTGAATTCCTGTTAACTACTTAATTAGTAAAGCAGTGTATTCAAACACTAATATTTATCTTTCCTCCACATAGAAATAATACAGAACAAACTTTACTGAAAACAATTTCTCATCATTTCAGACATTTTGACTACATTGATAGTGATTATATCAATTGACATGTAAAGAATATAAACTAACAGAATTAGTTCTTATTTAAAACAAAACTTAGACTTCAATACTTGAACATCAAACTTTGTATTTTAGGATTAAATGAATATGCTTCATGCATTCATACTAGAGCAAAAAGCAGTTCAACTCTAAATCTTTTCTCATGTAGACATTCATAATTTATTATATAACACATTTAAACTTTACATGCCAAAACCTTTATCAGATTTTTAAAAAATATAAATATTGCAAAAATATTGTCCAAAATAAACATTTCATGAAATTGAGTCCTTCAAAGAAAACATGTCAAGGCATGGCAGTTATAAAATTGCTTTTATAAAGAAAAAATTAACCTCAAGATCTTGATACACATCGGAAAAATAACGTCTAGCCACAGAGAGTGAATTTCTAATAAAAGAAATTCTATCTATAATTTAGCAGAAGTATGATGAAGATTTTTAAGATATTGTTTAAAGTAGTGATGATTTTCAGGACATATTAATACCACTTCAAAAAAAAAAATACTGGATAATCAAATTTATTGCATCGTTAAAATGATGAACAGGTAAATTTCTTATTTCTTCAGAACATTTGCCAAAATATATCTTATGTTGATCAAAATGTTATTAAAATACTAGCATCAAATATATCATTTATAACTTTTAAACATGGGCGTTAGGTAATTACTCTTTCGGCCGTTATTGCCCTTCAAATTGAGTCTAATTTGTCAAACAATCTGGCAGATGTTTTTGAAAAAGGTGAATGATATTGATATGAAGGTACTGGTAAACTAATCAAGACAAGATCATCAGGTATTTTTTTACCTGCTATATAATGTTTGATGAATGTTTTATACAAGGTCAACTATTCCTTCTGAAGGTCATCTGATGTTTGATTTAAAGATAGAGGTGATCATTTCATACCTAGCATACAAAACACCCTTAATTTGAACTGGTTAACAACCAATTCTGTCAGAGACTATGGTGTTTATATTTATAAATATTTATCACATAAACTGTTATACCTTGCATTTTAAAGTATTCCATAATCAATCAATTTCAAAGTATAATGAGATGCTTGATGAAATAGTTTATGCTTTGATCTACCAGATTCCAAATGAGGAAACATGATTAACTATTTGTTAGAACTTGCAATTGCATTGTACTAGTTAGACTAGCTGACCAACTTCTGGAAAATGGGCTGACTGTCTGTGCTAAATATATAAACAGTTTAAGCTTATACATACCTGTAAGTGAGGTCGTGCTACTATTAATGATATATCAGAACCTTGTTCAGCAAATAATTTAATAGCTTGATCTCGACAGTGAACATCAACATTATTAATCTGTAATAACTGATCGCCTTCTCGTATTCTACCATCATTACCAGCTATACTACATTGATCAACCTATAATATATAATTATATATACATGTCATTCAAAATTACTTCAAAATTTACTGTTAGGAATTGAATCAATAACTGTGTTTATTCCATGCTGATTCGCGACCAAGTTTGACACCAAACCAGGTAGAGAGTACCGTTCACTTCAAACAAGCCAATTTTTAAGGCAGTGTCAACGTCTATCCTTGCTCCAGCAACATCTAAAATGGAATTTTATATCTGAACATGGAATCTGTCACTCTGATGTTATTAATGAATTATTGAGCTAAAATGTGTAATTTACATTTGATTATGTTTTGATGTAGCAGGATTCTTCACCTAAGCAAGAATTGGGTAGACAGAGTCATTAAATATAGATTCTGAAATGAGGGCATGCAAATTCAATCAGTATATTTCTGCATGACCAGATGTGATATTGACATTTATGATCTTGTCTTTAAAACACACTTGAAGTTTTTACATATACAAAACTTCCTTACATAACTAGGTAAACAAAGCATACAGCTGATCAGAGATATGTTCTTCAAAAGACAAAAGAAATATTTTTTCCTTGTGTTTTACAGGATAACATTTATACTTGTAGTAAAATAGTATTAGGGGAAGAAATTTAATTAGACCAAACAGAGAATATCAGAGAAACATGTTGGCCACATGCATCAAGAATGTGAGAATGAGAATATAGTGTAAAAGATCTTCTGAGTTGGAGGTAAGTATGTCAGACATATATTTTCACTTTTTCAGGATATTATGAAATCTTCAGATTCAGCCAATTCACAGTTGATAAACAACTGATTAACTACTGAACAGAATTGTTAACTAAAACAATTTAGTAACTAAAAGTATGTGTAGTGCAATTATGTGTAATCCAAGTATGTGTAGTGTGAGTGTGTGTAATAAAAGTATGTGTAGTGTGAGTGTGTGTAATAAAAGTATGTGTAGTGTGAGTGTGTGTAATAAAAGTATGTGTAGTGTGAGTGTGTGTAATAAAAGTATGTGTAGTGTGAGTGTGTGTAATAAAAGTATGTGTAATCAAGTAGACATGGTCAGAAAGGCCTACATCAGTTTTTTGTCATGTTTAGTCATTATTTCTAAATCACCATACTCTTCATCAAATCATAAAAATATTACAATCTCATTTATAAAAGTTCAGAATCAAATAATCTAATGACTTTTTTCATCTTTCATTAAATCTTTCATATTTTTTAAAGACAAAATACCAGTAATGCAATTGGTAAAGAGCACTACTAATCAATGAGACTTGCCTACAGTGTATAATATCGTGTTCATCCGCCTGGGGGAAAACACAGACCTATCACTACAAATTACTTGTCAATAATCTTCCACTTCTCCGGAGGGACTATATTAGTCACATGGTGGCAGTGATCAATATAAGCTAGGTTATGTATGTTAAATTACATTTCACCAATCTAACTAGCCACATAATAGCTGTTAAGTAAAAAATCCAGTATGATAGATTTTCCTAGTTCACTTTGACTCGGGAGGTCGTAACAGAAGATCAATGAGTGTATTCTAACTTGTTGAGTTTTATCAAGGAGTAAATCAGGCATGCTGATGAACATAAAAGTTCTAATTAAAATGGATTAGTTGATACAGGGCTAGATTCTCTTAGTCAATCAAAATACAACAAGCAATATCACATTCTGATGCTAAATCATGCATGTGTAATCCACACATCTTGTTGGCATTCTATTATACAGTTAAATACTAAATGTGTAAGAATTAAGTTCAGTAGGTAAGGAATTCTAGCACAAAAGTACTGACTAAAATGCAACATGGTCCGGTATCAACACATTGTTTATAAAGGAAGAATTTTAACATGTTCTGCTGAAGCAAGTACATCTTGGTAATTCTTATTGATTCATATTTCATTAATAGAACATTAAAATACTAAAGATATTTACCGTAGCCACCTGGTCAGAGAGTGGAATCAGATGTTCCTCAAGAATGAACTTGTCATTAATTGCTTTTGACACCTACTACTATATTTATTTTAGTGGAACTGATGAGTCCAAGCAGACTTAATGATATTAAACTTTTATCTATTATGAACCAACCAATGTCTATATTATTGATAGACTATTTTTCTGATCATTTTTACTCCATTGATTCCGTCAATAATCATCCCCAATTTTTTCCCTAAATCTCTAAATTTTTCTAGGTTGCCATGGAGATCAATAAATGATAATTACTCGATTTTGTTTTTTTATGATGAAGGTCGGCTTGCTCTCGTAAATAATGTTCTTTGGATCAATTTTGACAGAGTAATCTCCCTTAGCTATCTGATGGATGGTAACATTACAGATATTAAAACAAGCAAGAACATTGTTTCATTACCTTTTGATTAATTTATGTAAAAAATGAGGCAAAGTCAATAATTCTGGTCAATTTTTCGATAAAGTAATTTGTAATATGTTCTTTTTCTCATAAATATAGCTCAGTTGATGAGATTAGTGTTATGATTTATGGAAAGAAATCAGGCGAATCTCCTGTAAATTCTAACTCCATGTAGATAAGGTGGAGAGAAGATTTGCTCTTCAGTCTATACAATCATAAAAATGTCTGGGATTTTCTATATATTTAATATTTAACGGTTGATTGGAAATTGTACTTATTAAAACCTAAATATGAATATATCTTTTTAGACAGTTGATCATTAAATTCAAATTGGAATTATTTTTCCTGATGAAAGATCAGCAAAAGGAACTAGTCTGTGTTTATTGAAATTAATATTACAGTATTCCTTGGCTAGCCTACTGACATGCCAAATTAGGAAGTTGAGTGAGTTTCTACAATAAAATATAGTCTGTACTAAACAATAATAGAAAAATTATCAAAACAAATTGTCTCATAAATTGTCATCTTCAGTCAAAAAAGAGATCAATGTTATTCCTTGAGGAGCCATTTTTAACTTTTTATCTGGTTAGAACTCACAAAAATGAGATACAAAATGGAGGTGACTCATGTTAGGTTATTTAGAGCCTATGGGAAGAAATAAATTTGGAAGATATGAGGCTTGTGATTTGAAGGAAATTGCTCAATCAATGATAAATGTTGGCTAGAAGACTGACTGAATTCACTCAAATATGGATTGAAGAATGATGACATCTTTTAACTTAAGACATAACAGAAGATTGACTCCGATGAATTTTGTTTAGCTGATATTCACAACTTTTCAGTTTTCAGGAGTTGTGTCAAAAAAATGTTAATTATATACACGCTGGATACAATTCTTGAATCATGACAAAAGTCAAAATCAACTTTATTATCCAGTATGAAATTGGTTGATTTATTGGATTGCTTTGCCTCAATTGATACCACAGTTTATTAAACACACAAGGAATGCTACTTCCACAAGTGATCTGTTTCAGTCCAGAATTACTCTTCGACTTCACTGTTTTCTGAATGAAATTTGGCAAATATTTTCATATGAACTGAAATATCAATTACAAAATACAACTTAAAGTCTTAGATTGTCTTTGGGTTTATGAAAACGTTAACCACTGGAAAAGTTATTATTTGTTAAAATAATTTTACAGAGGGTAATTTTCAGACCTTAAGTAGATATATTTCATGTGAATTGTCTATGAGGGAAGTGTGTCTATTTTAGATGTAAAATCACTGATCCTTATATTTCTATGTATCCGAAGGCATTCTCAGACAAATGACATATAGTTGAAAATTTTATTTTGAATATTTATGAAATGAGATCAATGTAGTCAAGAGAATAGTTTTCTAAAAGCCCTCAAAAATTTTCAATTTCAGAATTTAATTATAGCTGTCATGTAGTAGTAACAAATGAGGGTAATATTTTGACACATGTAAACATCATAATTATAAAGATAAGTCTGTATTTGGGTATTGCTTCATATACCAATATCTCTAGGTTCACTGTGGTTCATCACATTTTGTCATCCCATGACCAGTTGAAAATAAAGATGGAAAGATAGTTGGTGATGAATGATGGGATCATTTGACTTATTACTTTTGGTTACTGCAAGATAGCAGAAAGTCAACATTTCACATGACAGGACTGCTTATCAATTCTGTAATATTCAGACAAATAATAGAAATGCAGATAGTAGCAGGGTTAGAAACATATTCAAGTATATCACATGATCTTATTAAGAACCAAACCCACTTTTTCATTCAATCAGGATAGGCTAATTTTTTTAGGTGGATTACTGAATGGTTAAGAATTTCACAATGATGTGACAATTTGACTGAAGTAAATAAGATCAAAACTTTTGTGGTTAAGCATCTTTTTACATTCATCAATTTTAGGAAATATAAAAACATGTTTACAATCTGTTAACAAGTCTGAATGAAGAAATCAGTTAACATCTATTAAATCAGTTAACATCTATTAAATCAGTTAACATCTATTAAATCAGTTAACATCTATTAAATCAGTTGATTTGTTTACTTGATTACAGGAAGTAATTTTTCCAGATGGACAACTTTCAATGAAGAACATTGATTATTAGTAAGATATAAATGACCTTGACTTCAACAGGTCAATATGTAGGAAATTGTTATTGACTTATCTTGCTGTTTCCTTGACTTCAACTCGCTCAGTCCATCAATTGGACATAAACTAAACTGGACATTAATGGCTTGAAAAATTTTAAGGGTCATAATCTCAATGGGTGAGATGAACCCATTAAACATTGTTTAATCTTTCAAAGACAACTGATACCAGCAAATATACCTGAGAACTGTCTTTTATCATTTTTGACGAAATTAAAGTCACATAGAAGATGATGTTGTCCAAGGAAGACTAAAGTTGGGATGCCCTTTTTTGAAGATAGAATGTGTCATTAGCATCATTGCAAATCATGGTATTCAGCAGATTGATTGGATGTTGTGGTCACTAATAGACAAGTCATGCTGTGAAAATTGTTCGACACTTAACTGAATCAACTAAAATGACCTGCTGACCATGACTAACTATATAGTGGACATTGTCCAGTTTGTTGTTGAAATATGAAGCAGGTGTAATTGTCCCAAGTTTTTCTTTGAAGATTGTTCAAATAGACCATGTCTGTGATCTTTACCTGCTATGACATTGTTAAGTGTCAAAAGATATCACTATTGTTCTTGTCAAATTGTTTCAAATATTTGTTTTCCTCATCTCAAAGAATATTTTTTACCCTATTCTTATCTCCCTTGGAAGTGACTCTCCCACTGAGCTCATTTTTCAGGATATATGTATAAAAAGATCTAACCCAAACATCAAGAAAAAATACAGCTGATAGCAATCTCTGTGCATCCATTCAATAGGCTGTAAATACCACAAAACAGTGAGGTGAAGACATTTCTTTATATTTTGGCTTTCTCAGGAGTCAAAAATTTCATTTCATCTAAGCGTCGATTGGTAATGTCACTAGTGAAGCAACACATCACCTAATCACACACTGGGTGTGTCAACTTCTTGTCACATTTAGAGAGTCCACATAGATTATATTATTTTTTATATGAGAAAGCGATTCAAATAATTGTGAAAACAAAAAATTAATTCATGTTTGAGGTCAGGAGTGACATCTTCCATTGAATCTTCATTTGGAATTAAACGATTTATTGATTAGTTTTTATTTAGTTAATTAATCAAGCTTAATGAAGACAGTAATGAGATGGAATAAAAGAATTAATGATCTTATCAGAGAATCTTATTAACATTGAGCCAGGTGAGATCAATCATCTAATCTAGGTGATATAAGTTAAATAATGTAATATATATACTGTTCCTTCCCTAAAGATGAACTCTGCTACCAATTATTTCTGAGAAAAATATAGGATGTTATTTCACTTTAACAATATTCATTAGATAGAAACAGGTGACTTAATCTGTCTCAATCTTAATCATGATCTAGTCAAGTCTATTATATAAGTAGCTTAGTTGATAGAAGAAATAAATGATTATTAGAAATCACAGGTGAGTCAGTTCTTATCATATCTAACTAGTAATCACTAAGATACTGCTTACAATCCTAAATCTTCTTATTGTATGAGTTCATCTTATTAATTACCCTACCTATGATTCATTACTGATTGCTCATCATTTGTCTTGGAAGATTCATAAAGGTCAAAGCAAATGTTTATGCATTGATAAAGAATGGTAGCCTGTCATGGTCACACTTCTAGAACAGCTGTCATTCTAAGATGGGATTTCTAACACCAGCATCTCTTCAGAAGCCCGGAGTTAATAATATTTGTTAAGGTATTGCAGCAGAATTTAGTTTGAGGGTTGTAAGATTATCGTTGTGTAGTCTGCATGCATCATAAATGTACATCTATTTGGTATGTAGTTTACTATACAGACAATTACAAATATGTAACTAAGGTATTCACTCTATTGATACTTATCGTACCCCATTAATGTCTTTCTGGTGCATATAATGAAACATGGATTTCATTCTTTAAGATTTATCTTTCGAAACAGACGATAAATAACTGTTCTTACCTCACTAATAAATATATCTGTAATTTCATCTTCTAAAGAACCATAACATAAAGTTAATCCTAATTTTTCTTCTGATGATGTCCTTGTTAAAATAATTTCCTGCAAATATATAGAATTTAAACATAAAACATTGCAGAATTCAAAGAATGTGAGACAATTTAGTGTGATGGATGAGATTTATGCAGTGTTTAGGTTTTGGTTCAGTTCTGTGACATATTCTTCAAGTATGTAGATTCAGCATCTAGCTCCAAACATTGAATATGTCAACATCAACCTGTTCCCTTTCTCATTAACTTTAATTAACCCTTTTTAGTTTACCCAGTAATAAAATGTGAAAGTGTCTTTGTTTAAAACTTTTTATTAGTGTCTGGACCTTATTTATTTCAGGTCTTTTAAGATAACTCAAGATAACACTGTGTATGGATGAAGAATTATCTTTATGGCTACTGGAATCTGTAAATATTTAGTTAACTAAAGATCTTCTAAAATTCGTTAGGTGTACAGGCAGTGGTTGTGATTATATTCTAATGATAGATTGAGATTTGTTGGTGAAATCAACATGGATGCTGCTTCCATTAGAATTAATCTGAAATAGATCATCTCAGTGGTGGCTAACAATATCATATACTATTAACTACCATTCTTTTTCATTTAAAATCCATCTTATAGTTGGAATATTTTTTCATTTTCTGACATTAGTTTTGAATCTTGCTTGCAAAAAAATATAATTCAGCTTAACACAGCTTCCAATCTAATCATAATTCATAGCATGTATTATATGTTTATACAGTTTTTAACTGGTTAGTCAAATTCTTTCATCAAAATTTATCTCTTTAATTATCTTTATTACATTCTGTCAGCAACTTTCTCTTTCCATGATTATTTTAAAAATGTAATTTGTAATTGTGTTGACAAGATTTTCAAATTCTGTTTCAGTAAGCCATTATTTGAAACCACTTGAAGTGAGCCAAAAGATTCCTCTGCCACCAAGAAGAATTTTGACAATAACCAGAAGGCTGGAACCATGGCTGGGCTCTTTTACAAGTTTAAAACCTATGCCTCTGTTTTCTCACAACTTTGATTTACGTTAATTTCTCATGTTTCCTACATCATTGATTTTAATTGGTTAAATTAGAATAATGGCCGACATCTCCCCTGATAACTAATCAAAGTCAGCCATCTTGTAGAAATCTGGTTTGTGTCGTTAGTTTTTGTCAGTTTTATTAGAATAAGATTTTGTTTGATGTTGTTTGAGAGTAATCATATTATTACCATCTCACAGTCTTTAACTCTATAGATTTTATTATCTGTATTAGATTGGGACAGTATAATCTACTAGTGATCACAATGTCAGATTAATAATCAATCTAGATCAATCTAGATTATAGATATTTACTCAGGAATCAAACAATTATAGATTCAAGTTACGATTTATCATTTAAAATTTTGATCTTTGGCACTGATCTTTGGACATGAACAACACATCTTGGAGCTAATACTTTGCACGTTCCTATTTGTGGGCTGTGTTAGGAAGCCTTGACGGATATGGTGTCAGGAAGCTGGTATGCTTACTTTTCTAAACACCTGACCGCTTTTCATTGTGAAACACTTATGATTGATATACTTCCTCATGTGAAAAGTTGATTACCTGCTACCTATGTTCACCAAAATGTTGTTTTGGATTTCTGCTGGTTTCATTTTGTGGTTTGGATCATTGATACTTGGTTTCTTTATTATACTTTTTTTTCATTGCTTCAACACTTGTGATGCGATTCACGCAATTAATTAACTGGCAGATACAGAACTCACAAACTCAAACCCAGTCTTGTCAATCTAGAGCATAAATATCCTACACAAGAGTAATGATATACTCTAAAGTTATGCAAAGTTCAAATTTTCCAAGTAGATCTTTGATATGCACCTAATGGACCTGTTTGATAGTGGAGAAAAAAGAAAATGTATGCAATGATTATATGAGAAAGGTAGATAATGTTATATGGGAGGTAATATAAACTAAAGATAGAGATAAAAGGTGCAGTATGTAAAAAAAGAAGAATATCTAAACAAGATATAAAGAAACTTTGCCAAAGTTTTATTTGCTTAATGATTATAACTCTATTATATAGCAAATAAAACCACACTATAGTTTATTTTATCTATGTGAATGCATTCAGAAATCTACAGGTATTTCATTGCTGATAAGAATGTCTTTTTTCTTTTGCACATGAACCGCAGAGCTTGTATTTGTTAGAATATGTTCATAGCTCTCATCAGAATATTAGAATGTGGTTGTTTCTGTTACCAACCCTTAAAAGTAGGTATCTGTTGCTGTCCTGTTAACAGTGGACACTACATTATCACATATGCAGAATTTCAAATTGATCTTCAAGACAGTTTAAAAACTCATTTCCATCACTTTTGCATCAGATGCAGAAACATCAGATCAACTAACAAAAACTACATGGCATGCGGGCTAGTGAAATATAAGATACATTAAGATTACTGTACGTTGATCCTGTATCTACCCAGTCTATCTATTACCCAATAATTTGAATATCTCTCCCTGTGGCGATATGAAAACTGTGGTTTGACGTAAGACCACGTTTACAACATCTATTTCAATAAATCGTGTTATTTCACCTGGTTAATAACAATAGGTAATACTCTTATATAAACATACATACATGTGCAGCACAAAAACTCACACGATAACTTGTCATGATAGGTGTAGGTAAACTGGCAGAAGGCACAATATCATCATCCCAAACATTGTTCAAAGAGATTATCACATCAATCAATTATGTGTTCATTTGTTAGTCAATCAGGTTTTAATTAATTTGATAATATCAATGATATCATGTTATCATAATCCGTGTCTTAAATACATAGACCTTTAATATTCTATATTGACCTTGTACCAGTCGTAATATCAAATTCTTTTAAACACACAGACCATTGTCTTCTTACATAACAACAGTCAGTCAATTTACCAATATACTTGTTGCTTAAAGGTGAAAATAAACAAGCACCATGTCCCTGTTTATTTGCAAATCAGGTGATCCAGTAATGTAGGCCTAATAGTGTCAACTGATGGAATTGAGGTTTTGTAAATTTACCTGAATATCTTGATACTGATATAAGTCAGGTTACAAGAACTATTTTGGCAAAAATAACATTACAGTTGAAACAATTTGTTATAGTATTCATTCTTCATATACCTTGCTTTATGAAGATGTTTTTGTTTGTAATAAAGGTATGAGAAAATGTTGGTACTCGGCCTATTCTTTATTATTTTTACCTTGAATCTGATTACATATTATAGCCAGGTTTCTTTTTCTGGTAAATAAACAAACCCCACCAGAAATATTCTTCCTCACGGCAAATATTCATTGATATATGTCCAGAAAAAACATGTAAATATCTTATATTGACCTTTATATAAAAAAGGTTATCAGAATATTGTATCCAGACGTAATTTGGCAACGACTGTTCAAATTAACTCCCTGTGTCACTGCCCTATAAGGCATACACCATCTAACTTCTCCTTACTTTCAAACAGACAAATGTGTCCATTGGATAATTGTTATAAACTTTATGGATACCAAAGTCTCCATCTTATGTACAGAACACAAAAATTATGATGACCATTATTTGTGTGATTTGAACAATATTTTTTGTGGGTAAAACTAAAAAGAACTGCATCACATCAAAATAATGTGAACCAAGTTCAATACGAATAGTAAAATGTCCAGACTGGGTGGTCAGTTTGTTTTGCCACCAAAGTCCTTTGATGTTGACTGCTAGAAATGTAGTGGACATGTTAACTGTCAAGTTAGTTTGATCTAGTACCAACTGTTTTATGTACTGAATCAAAAGGTTGAAATTGTTGGCATGATAATGGATTTAAAGTAATCAAAATCAGAAAATATTTACTCTAATTTTTGTTTCAGACTGGGTAGTTTTGGCAATATGCAAACATCAGAATACAGACATTGCACACACTTTGTGATATAATTATCTCATGATCTGTGAACAACTGTAGCAATATCAAGATTTCACTATTAAACCTAAGGCATATATTTTGTTTTCAAGTTCAACTTTCTTATATTTTTTTCTCTTCCTTGTCTGTGATTTCAATAGAACATGGTCAAGTTACAATTATAATTGTATAGCTTCTAGAATATCTCATCTAATATTTATTATAATCACATCAATTAACAAAAGTAATTAATCTAAAAGATAATTAGAGTAATACAATCTTATCATTCTCTTACTGTATCTATTACACAAGAGTTATTGTTCTTGATCACGTAATATTTATTACAATAGACATTCAAACTTCATATAAGACAATAGATATGGTGGCGCTATGACCTTGTTTCTATTATTCATTATTGAAAATAATATCAATTTAGCAGTCTTTCACATTAATCAAACACATAGAAAATTCATACTTTGTACTTTTGTAGTGAAAGCAATTTAAAAAATATATATCGTGTTCACTTCTCTATAACTTGGTGAATAATGTATCTAAATGGTATTTTACTATCACTGCACTTACTACCCAATTTACAAAAGGTCTTAAAATCTACATTAGATAACCCTGAATAACATGTTGAAAAGTTCAAACCCTTGAGGTAAAACATATTTAAGTTTCCACCTACGGAAAGTTAAGCCAGTGTTGGTGTGTTAACAAAGCTTACACAGCACATTCTAGCTTAGCTTTACAATTCTGATTAAAAATGTGTCAGAATATCCACATACAGATGAGAATGAAATTTTTAGTGGTGCTTTAAAGCTGAATACATCTCTATATATATCTGAATTGTCCTGAACCAATATTGTGACAATAGAAACCTTAGTAACAATCAGAAATTTGTATCAAGCCACAAGACAATAGGTGTACAATATTTCTACAGTTATATTGTATCAAAATATTGAATTAAACTAAAATTATAGCCCTGAGCATTTTATATTGATTTTATATTAATATCACAACTATTTAATATACAACACTTTTTCTCCACTTTCAATATCTAGGCTACTTCAAGATGAATTTTAATGTTATTTTAGACAAATATGTCTGCTTCCATGTTTAGAGTTTATAAAATCAATTGTGAAGTTTTATTTTGAGAATGTTTTTAAGAGGAGATTGTCAACAATGACATTCAGACAGTAGATATGGTGTAGCGAAATGTTATAAATGCACTTATTCTATAGACATTTTCTTTCCTGCCAATTCCAAACCATTATCACTAATAAAAGTAATGTGGATTTTGCCGTGATACAACAAATTACTTAATGGACAATCATTTTTAAGGAGGTTTTTTTTCTATGATATACCAGTTTCATGTCAGTAACAGTCTCTCAATCACAAGGCCAATATACTTTCTACATCATCAATTAAAACTGCTTTTCTTCATAAATAATGACAATTGAGAGAAGACAATGTTAAAACTTTATAAAAAAAAAAAATCTAACAATACATCATTTAAGAGCAATAAAATGTATTTTTTCTATCAAATTGAATCAAGATTCCTAAATTCCTAAATAAATAATGACAGTTAGATCTGAAGAGACTAAATCAGACTTTATGACTAGAGAACACTCAAATTAACATCTCAATCATTGATTCGTCAACACTGCATGTAAAACGACAGAGAATAGAATCTGATAAATGGCTGTCAGATACCACACACAGAGTAATTTCAATACAGGAAGATTCCATTTCTATAGATCATGTATTCATATTCAATTCTCTAGAGATAATCAATTAGCAAGGATATTGAAGAAACCCTGTATCATTTACAAAACATGATTGTTGAGTTAAAAAGTTAAGTGCTTAACATCAGGATATTGCTATCTTATTCTGAATCTATAACAATCATGTTTTCCACTCCTCTACTCTTCAGGCAATAAAGACTGAGAATAAGATGACTTTAAAGGGAGTTTTTTGTGTTATGTCTTGTCCTTCAAGGGATAATTAGAGAAGGATGGTTGTCGGACAGTTAATGATTGAAATTACAAAAAGCATATGGAGGAACTGTAATTGAAATAAACGAGACAATCTCCATCATCTTTCAAGAGCTGATCTGATACTGTTTCAAATAAATATTTCAGATACCAAACCATAATGGCAACTGCCAGTTTGAAAATGGGCTCATACATGTATTTCTAATACTAACTAATGAGAAAGTTCCATCAATTCAATATATTTACCTGATTGACAAAAAAATACAACCCAAATAGGCTTCCATATTTTTATTCAACCCTGAATGGTATAAAACCCCAAATATTCCAAAATAAACACAACCTAGCCATATCCTCAATGATAAAACTAAACAGAACTGACTAGAAACCAATCAAATTTACTTGCTGTAACTTTTCTCAAATTGGAGAACAAATTGAGTGGAAAAAGTGCTTACTGTTTTCACAATAAATGGCTTTTTAAAGAAGTCATTTAATGTCTGACTGAATAGGGCAAATAGAATCTCTTTATTTTCTCCTTACGACTATTTTTTTTAAAGATAGAATAGTTCTCTTAGTTGATGGACGGACTTATCTGTGACAAGACAGACTAATAAAACTTGACGCCAACAGAACTACAATCAATACTCAAAGACAGAAAATAGGCGCTAGTCAAATTAACTGGGTGTTGAAGACTAACCACCAAATATTCCCCTGTGGTCAAATGTAAAGCACAAGTAATCAGTCAGAAGAAAACAAACTGAATCTTTTGTAATAAAGAAATATTTGTATTTGTTTTTTGCTTATAGTTGTCATTAAAATCTTAATTTAAAATGTTTACAGTACTTATGAACTTAAAGCTTGTATAAGATGAACACATTTTTTTTTCAGCAAATGTTAAAACTGTCACATTATGATCTACACAGCCTGAAGCATAACATTTTCAACAAAGATAACGGAATTTTTGAATGCAAGACTCTATTTTTAACGAGCCACTTTCAAGAAATTTCAAACCACTTCTCATCAAATATTTATCCTCATTTATTTATTGCCAAGAAATTAATAAGTTTTTAAGAATTTTATTATTTTTTGTGTAAATGTTCAATTGATTGACATTTGTCTGATTTTTTCTCAGTCTTATGAAAAAAAGAACGAAATTGGATGTATTGAACAAGATAAGACCAGACATTTCAATCGCTGCAGAATGAGATAAGGGCTGACCTATGCCTACATTCATCACATTTAATCAATAACTTACTTGAAATTTTCCTTCCAAAATCATTTCAACAACATATTTGTCTGAAAATAAATCTAAAGTCTCCAACGAGGCTTATATGTCAACTCAATACAGCTTTTAAATCTTAATTCATTAAATCCATGCAACGTGGGAACAACTTGCCTGATTTATCTTCATTATTTGGTCAGCAGTATGAGACACGAAAAACATCAACTAAAGCCAACATTATTATTGTAGTCTTTAGGGTATCAGGGTAGCTTATTTAAAAAGATCATTTCTTAATTTTATGGACTGCATCAGGCCAGTAGAAGATTTTTCTAATCTCAGTGTATTAGAGTCAATGCAGCCACTGCTCTCAGCCATGTTGCATGTAGTTTGTTTGTTTTTTTTGCAGATATAATCGAAATGGCCTTTTTTTGTACATGCAGACACATTTCAGCAACTTTTGTAATAAATTAAGATAACAGTATCTAGGACTTTTTCATTGAAACAGAAAAATCGTTTAATCAAGATAAAAATGAAAGCGTCTAATAAAATAATTAAAGTGGAAGTTTAACGATGATTGCTAAAATAAAATCTTTCAGCTATCATGCATTTTATCATTTAGCTGGAAGGTTTTCAGTACAAATATTTTAATTGTTATGTAGGTTATTTCAGGACAGGGCACACCATTTAATTACAAATTAAAGAGATATTCAGTTTCTAGCAGGTAAATTTATCGCTATTGGCAACAGGCCTATCTTTTACCACAAATGATATATCATTTCTTTTATATGACTCAAATGTTATTTTTCTCTTTCAGAAGAACTAATAATTTTTAAAATGACATTTATTAAAGAAAATTTTTCTTTAGGCTCAACAAATCAATACAAATTTGGGAAATTATACTATTAGATTTCTTTCTTAGAGGAACAACCTTTTACACAAGGAATTACTTTGGAGAGCCTTGCAAAGTTTTGAGTATTAGCTCATCTCCATGATAGAAAATTTGGATTTATCAATGAATTAAATGCAGTAAGATATCCAGTGCTGAAATATCGATATAGAAGTGAAATACATGACCTATGGACACTGTGTGGGCTTCTTCTATTTTCCACTGTATCTATAATCCTTCACCGTACCTCTTCTATTTGCAGCTTTCATTTTCATATATCAAGTATGCTAAATATTACGAAGAAATATTCAAAGTGCAGTTTTTGTGTTTAAAATTGAAGAATCCACCATTCCAGATCAATAGGTCATTCAGCTGCCTGTCATTTTAAAAACATTTGCAGTTTTTTTGGGCCAGTAATGATGTTGATTATAGAAAGGAATAAAAGTAAAAACGGAAGCTATCATTTTACACTAGGTGATTGAGATGAGAACAGTTGGTCGTATTACATGATATAATGAAAGACCATGTTCATTTCTGACTTCGTTACCAAGCCTAATGAGTTATTGATGGCGTTGAGATCAATATTTAGGTCATATCTCACATCATGCCATCATAATACTGGTCATAAACAATTCCTTTCACTTCCTTACAAATTTCTCGGAAAAATACTTGGTAATTTATCAGTGAATAGATTTTTTATGAAACTTAAAATAGCACATAATTTTGAAATGTGGCCGTTAAGGAATACTGTATACTGTATACAACATGAGCTAGCTATGAGGAAACATATTTCAATGATTTCTTGGATACCTCAGACATCAGATTTAAATACTTAATTGGCATCTGTGTACTCAATACAACTTTCAAAAGCATGGTCTAACCCTATGGTAAAAACCTAAGATCAACACAAGGTGGAACCACTGAGCTGGTGTAATTTTCATCAAATTAATTGAATATGACAGCAGGTCACTAAAGGTTTAGTTTACGAGTCAGAAGAGACTGGATGTCATGTGATTAATTACTTGTTTTGAGACGGAAATTATCCAGACATTTAAAGTCTTCAGTAATTTCCACTCTGCTGTGAAACTGTAAAGGATTCCACTTCAGTCTTCATGTTAAATGTAAAAATATTCAATATTGCTGCAGGATTTCAATTACAATGAGTTATATTATGAGGTAAAAATTGAAATAGCAGTTATGTTACCAATTCTAAACGCAAGTTGTTCAGCTGCTTCTCTACAAGACATGGTTTGAATTCACCAAACACCAAAATATCAAATTTTCATCTTAGAAAGTTTTTGCATATCATTATTAAAGTCTTACCTCATATTCCATTTCGTAATTTCTATCATCAAAATATGGGTCATCATAATCCATATTATGGGACATTTCTATATCTGTAAGTCCCATCTCGGCACTTGGTGAAAAGGCCACAGGTCTCCGTGACGAAGGCTGGTATAATCTGAAAATAGAAATTTAATTCATATTCACATATTGCCCAGTATTGTCCATTATTTCAACTGTTATAAAAGTTTAATATTATAATGTGGATTTGTGAATATTTAGTGATAATGCAGGAAGATCAATGTATAAAATACAACTGTTTCATTTTTAAAACTAATGAATGTATTGTATGTTTGCAGCAAAAGACCACTGGAACATATAAAATAAGATTTGTATTATCTTTTGAAATGGTATGTCAGTTTTCTCTTGTAAATGGTTTGGTTTAGAGTTGTTTTAACAGTCTATATAAAAGGATAAATCAGATATCAGTAGTAGAAACTTGATTCTGATCCTAAGATCAATGAAACTACCAACAGATCAAGTCTGAATCTAGCCAACAAGTTGAAGTGTAATTCTCTCATAACTCAACTCTGCTTGGAATTGTGAACATGTTATCTTTAAAATCAAATCATCTCTTTTAACTAATAATAGCTAGAGATTATTCATTGTCAGGAGTCCAAGACAAGATTGCTCAAAATCAAATCCACGCCATTTCATTTGCTATCCTCAACTGTCAAAGTGAGGATGGTGAGAATAAATTGTGGAGATATTAATGAGTATTGAGTGTGGTATGAGATCATCACCAATATTAGTCAAAATCTGACATAACTTCACTTCATCAACAAGTTTTTATATTACCAAATATTTTATGAATTCCATGCAGTTTTAAACATAGATGTATGAAATACATTTTTTTGAATTTATGCATAGAATAAGCACATCATTAGTTTCATATTATCCCTGCTTTTACTCTAGTTATGAATTTCAAAAAGTGAATGAAATCTGAAGCCACAAATATATTTTCATCAATAATATTTGGTCCAATTCCATTATTTCATGTGTTTTATTTTCATGTCCGGAAAATCCAATACTATTAAATTAATTTTATTATATTTGCTTTCATCAACCATTCTACATAAGCTTTGACCTGATTAATAATTCTATAGAACATCATGACTTTCTAACCATTCCAGTAATCTACGGTACTATTCTTAGTACTATATAAAGATCAATATTGGTTGGTACATACAAGTACAAGAACCATCATACTAATTCTCTATACTTGACCAATTCTACTAAGTCTATTGAAAAACTCGTGAATTGGTAAATTGGAATTTATAGACTAACAACTTGACCAAATTTCTTTCAATTTTCTACTTATAGAGTTTACAGATAATTCAATATAACAAATGCCACTGATTGCTGATATGTACTAAAATTTCTGATTTTAGTGAATCTCTGAATCAACTACAACTCTTATCCAGGACAATATTCAAGAATTAAAGTAACCAAATTGTTGCCTGTTCAGAAGAACACAGTTTATGGTTCTGTATTACTAGGAAGACATAGAGAATTACTTGGAAATGCAACAGATTCGCTTTTTACTGAAATCAGAATATTGCAATATTGGTCAAATCAAGAAAGCAGCAGAAAGATTGATACCCCACCATTATTGGGTTAATTAAAACATTGTAGCAATAACTAAAACTTAATTCCTCAATAACAGAGGTTAAAAGAAGCATCAGGGGGTTTCTGCTACAGATAACAGATGTGTCAATCATCATTCTAATTAACACTGATAATATTCCATATATGGTAATGATGGCAGAGGTTATTTGTTAACCTTGCATTCACTACTAAAGGTCAAAAAATATACTTGTCCTCAGAAATACAATTCTCTACGCAATTAAGAATTCAGCTCCTTCGCGATAAACTGCTTTGTTGAAAAATGATGCAGAAAAGAAGCAGTTGAATATCTTCTCAAAAAGATAACAGCTAGATAAAAGATTTTCATTTTCAAGGATAATCTAAAACAGTTTTTAGTAATCTAGTAGATTAAAAATCAAAACAAAGAATATTTTAGGTTATTCACTCAATGGTTTCTTTTGTGTATAAAAATGTGTGACTTGAGGCTTTCATAAATATTCTAATGTATTCCTATTAAGTTTATCATGACAATAAGATTTTAATGCCGCAGCATAAGATCAAAAATTACATCCTGACCAAATTAAGACCATTGTCAGGATTTCAATAGCTGAAATGAAATGTGAAAGATATCACCTTTGAATTCTCTAATCCCCTTAAAATTCAATAGAAACATTCAAAGATGTACAAATCATTAGCTTTAATAGTCTGCCTGGAGAAATTCATATCAAACAAAATATTAATTAAATTTCAAGTCCAAATATCACACCCATGTGATTAACATGCTTCAGAAAGCTTTTGACACTGAGAGCAAAGTTCAAATGTCCCCAGGCTTCAAACACACATGTGATAGAAAGAAGAAAAATTTGATAATGATACAATTAATAGACCAACTTGGTTCAACAAACCATTGAGAAGTCAGTGGTCTGGTCAATCTGGACAGTTTATTGAAAACTCTAAAATCTTGGAGTTCGATCTGGAACAATAAGAACTAACAAAATGTAACTAATCTACAATGATATTGGATAACTTATCATAAAGTGTAAAATACACCAAGCGATATTTCACTTGATGTATAAAAAACTCAAACCACCAATACAGCAGTACAGAAATGTTAAAAGCCTCAACTGCCATCAGGAAGTTTATCAAGAAATCTAAGTAAATAAGAACAAAATCAGCACCAATACCCACCTTGCCAGAAATTCCATGGGAATACATAATTCTTCAACATCTTCATTTCTAAGATCCATTGTCAATTTTCTATTAAAATCTGATTACACAGATGTTCACCAAATACTTTTCACAACTAGTTAGATAGCAATTACAAATTTTATAGCTTCAGCATCAGCACTTCGATTTTCATTCACCAGATATATACCACTGTGTTGATGTAGCGTAGATCATCAAGACAAGTTTCCCAGTAAAACAACCAGTGCTAGTTTATTTGAAGGAGTAAACTGTTTGGAGTAATAATATGTTGGAAGAATGTCAATCTATATTACTATACTACATCTATTCACTTTAATAGTGCTCAAACTTCCACACGAAGAGACGTTCTGAACGTAATCTATTGAACTGATATTGGTTTTCAATTCTTATTACTTCAATATGTAACATGTAAAGTATCCTAACACAATTGTTGCTAATGGCAGAATCTTGCAATGTTTTTCTTTAAAACTCAAGGATTATTTACCTATTTCTGTTAAAATCAGTGCAGTAATGTCAAATAAGTGTACTATTCCTCTAATCCTTCTATATCAATCGCAAGCCCTGGGTTTATCCCAAATTTTGTAAAGGCTCCTTTGGTATCAATATCAAGAAATTGACTACGGTTCATCAAACAAGCTCTTAGTTGGGTTGAAAATCCAAAATGGAAGCTGCAGGCTTAATGTACACACAAAAGAAGAGAAGTAATATGACTGTGGTAATATGAGAAGGAAAAGATCAAAAGATTATATTTAATTTGATATTCTATTCTTTACTAATGAATGTTTAGTTTTAATTTGTCTGTTTCCAACATGTTCAGTATCTGACCATCTGTCTGTCTGGCCTCATCAGTCTCTATTGTCTTAAACTTATTTGTCTTTCTAAAGCTAATTTTACATGAAATTCAATCAATAGTTGAATCACTGTCAACTCTATGGAGACTTGTCCTTGTCGTTTTATTTCTCCACGTTATTTTAATAACCTTACAGATCGTGTCCGTGGTGACTTATAAATCCATTTACAACTATTACAGCTCATTCACTAATCTAATTAACGTAAGCTAAGGATAAAATAACGTTTTATCTTAAGAGTATTTTATATGGAAATTGCAGTTTACTACAAGCATAAGGATTTATAACTTTCATTTCTAATTTACGACTCCCAAAAGTTATTTGGTAGGCATTGATTTGCTGCTAATTTCAGAGGTTACTTTCAGAAATATGTTCGAATTTGAGTCAGTCTTCACTTTCAGTCCAGTTTTTACTTTAAGGAAAGAATCAATCTGTATTTAGAAATCAGTGAAGTTTAAATGAGCAGATTGTTTTTAAAGATGAACAGAAAGAGTCTGGCTCATGTCAACTTTGTTCAATCAAATTCACTCAACTGTTAACTCTGTTCCACTATTTCTTTCAATCCACCTCCATCTTGCATTTTTTTCTTCACTTTAATGTTTTTTAATTGACAGTGTTTTTTGTGCGTCTAGTCTGATCAATTAACTTTTTAATGGTATTATCATCAAGTTTATGTCAGCGGGTTTCTAAGATGGATTTCAAATCACTCTCTTCTCTTTAGTTGTTGAGTTCGTCTGCAACTTTCAACTGTCGATTTGACTGGCAGTTGTATGGTACCGATTAATGCCAATTTACTGAACTTTTGCTTCACAAGTAAAAACAATCAAGACAGTTGCATGAGTCACACTATTTCTTTGATATGGTTGAAAGATAAGACTATAGTAATAACCATTAAGCGCCACAGTTGCAGAAATTCTTGATATCAATTATTTATCACCTACTTCCTGATAGTTGAAAATTTCACAAGAATTCTAATCCAAGTTTACCATTATACATCACCAACAAACCACTTGCTTCAAATAGAAATGTAAAAGTTTGTATTCAACACAATGGTTTTAGAACTAATAGATAACCCATATTCATGAATTAAATGTCGTCTGCATGTAAAAGTTCACATGAGGAATACAGCTCCAATCTTTCCAGTCTCTAAATGTGTCCAGTTCCTATGGTTAATGTGTATGAAAATGAATGCATTGATTCAGGAATTGCAAGAAATAGTTCCTGTTAACTCTTCAATTATAGATTAAACATTTTCATTCAATTTACTTTCAAAACCATCAAGATATAACTGTCTCCTTCTTTCATGCATATAAATAGTGTTTCAATTCAAGCAGTAAGAATCATGTCTCCGAATACAAAAAATTACCACATCAAAGTGAAGTCTTACTCTAGCTACTAATACACTGACTATTTGTTTTGTAATCCTGGCTACTTTTCGAATCTCTTCAGGCTTTAGTAGTAATATAGTAGACAATTGGACGTCAATAACCAAGTAATATTCTCTGATACTACCATAATATTCCGTTCAATACTCAAATACTTTTCCAATAAATCAAGAGATGAACTATTACAAATGTTGATTTTTTTAACTGTTACATCGTCTGCTTGTTAAGTTTTAACCGTTAAAGATTTTCTCCACAACTGATTTACTTCAATAAGCAAATGTGTAAGCAAATGTGTAGGCTGGGTTCAAAAATTCACTAATACTCGAATTGAACTTTTAGCTGTTCAGATTTAAAGCTGCGAAAACCCATAGATTTATCAGAAAAGATCCAAACTCAAACTCTGGCCAATCTATACTACAATCGCAGTTGATAGTTACATTTAATCTATTATCATGACAATCCAATGTTGAATTTAGGAAATCCAAAGACAATTCAATGATCCTCACACTGGTAAAGAGTTCCTCCAATAATAGTCTCCACTAACCAATGATTTTATACCAAACTCTGATTGTCCTTATGATTCATTCCATAAATATTAGCAACAATTAAATTCCTCTCTTTAAATCTTGAGAACTTTCTTAAATACATGTATTATTTAAAACAACATGGTGGATGACTAACAGAAGCTCCTTAAACTACTTCGAAATTAAAGAGTTCCAGTCTCTTAGTGGTTAAAAATACTGTAGACGACTGTAGGTCAATCAATTTTCACTTGCAACTCACAACAGAATTGGTACCTTTATAAAAGAAATTAACAAAGACTTCAGCTAGATTGTCATTAAATTTCATCATTGAAACAGAATCCATAAATTCCCAAACTATGTACTTCACCATTTCCACACATTTAACAAATAAGATAAACAAAGTCACATTTCTCTTCTTTCAACACAAGAATTCATATCTTAATATCAGAAACAAAGTATCCTTTAGTTTGTAATCACATAGTAACAATGATAGTCAAACTACTATTAAAAATGGTGGCTGAGAATGAAAACAAAGAAATGTGAGATGAGACCAACTGTCAGTCAGTAGCCAGCTGTTAGAACTATATAGTCACTACAGAATAGTACTTCACTATCAGTGACCATAGCCACAGATTGGTGACTAATACTTAATTTCAATTCCCCTGACTCTTCTGTCAGAAATGATCACCTCTTCAAGAACTGGACGAATCACACTGCTCAACAGTCAGTGTTTGAAATGGCCAATTATACAAGACTACCATCTCATTGACCCTTATGTGTTCCCTGTCATTTTTCATTTTTTCTTTTCCTATTCGACTTGTCGTTCCTCTTTCAGTATTTGATCATTTGAAATGAGAGATGACTTCAATAGACAGTCGGCAATATTCAACTCTTCTCAATAACTCCTTATTTCAACTAAATATTTGCTGATTCTCTGTGATTAATTTGCGTATGTTGTGCGCGAGATTCGGTGTGTGCATGCATGTTATTGATAATTAGTGTGAGAACTTCATGCTATTTCTAATACTCTCACAATGGTACAGACCTTTTTTCACTGTGGCCTCTATTAATTATCCAGCAATCAATGTGTTTTTCATGAGCATTAGGGGAATATTGGTAATATGAATAGCCACATATTGTGTAATGCATATAATGTGTAATACCCGCGATCTAATTAACGACAATGTATTATTCAGTGAAGCTATCAAGATGATTTCCGAGAGACAAATTATAAATGAATTAGTGAATGTGTAGTAATTATAATTAATGGGGTGGAAGGGGTCGATTAACTGGTGTCAATCATTTTGGAATATATTACTCTTTACATTGTCTCTATATCCTGCTTTAATTATATCTTCTGTCTTTATAACTTTTATATTATATTCACTTTGTCTTCTATTTATAAATAATTGTTAATATTATCTTCTCTGTCCTCAGCAATTAACTAGTATATTTTTTGAAAATGCTACATTTTCAGAATAGTTTAATGACTCTGTCTTCCTATAGATTTCTTGAAAAGTAACCAATAAAGAATTCATTATCAACATCTGCATTATATCTACTAGAAAAACATTGTGAAAATGATCCTATTAAAGGTACAGTATCCAATTTTTTGGGGGATCTAAAATTAAAGGATGGATTCTTTAAATCAAAACTTTCACCTATTTTTTGGTCTACAGTTTTCGTTAATTTTAACATCTAAATTCTCTGACCTACTGAATAAATCAGACTCCCCTTTTAAATCATACTCAGAATCCATCTGAAATCAGCTGATCGCTTCTTACACTTTTACAAACTAAATAAATGACCAATCAATACACAGTATCCATTATTATTGATCATTATGGAAGAGATCACATGATTGGTCAACAACCTAGCTACTGACCAATAGTCAATGTCAATATTTATTTAAGACGACATCTGACCGCAGCAACACAAGAAAAAAGAAATATTTGTCTGAGGTTCTAGTATGACACTTGTCGTGTGTTGACAAAGTAATCGAATATTATTTATTCACTAATGATTTGCTAGGGATTATAGTCAATATTAAGTGGATTATTTATACAATTTGAAGAATGTGATTATTTAACATGTAACTCTTATCTAAATGATATGCAATTAGTAACATTGTAGCCATTTTATCACATGATTGTTACATCATAACCCGACTCAATTATTGCATCATGCGATTTCTTGAATGAAAACCTTATCCAGAGGGTATAAAATTCCAGTGATAGGTGCATACTGTTTTTTAAGAGCCACAGTATACAATTCTACAATGACA